AGGCGTGGTCACTCTTTCCATTCTACAGATGGGCAAACAGGCTGGCGTAGCGGAGGACCACCTTCCAAGATCTTGTAGCTGGGGATATGTCTGACTCCCAGGCCCGTGAGGGGAGGCCCCAGTGCCCCAGAGAGACTTCAAGCTCAGCCCTGAACTTCTGCCTGGGTGGGGGCCTGGGGGAGCTCCATCTCCTGGTCCATCTCCAGGTGCAGAGGAGAAAGTGCTTGCCCTCAGAAACTAAAGCTCAGAGAGGTCGAGTGGCTTTCCCACGGTCACACAGCAGGCCAGCAGCAGAGCTGAGAGCCCAGGAGTTGTGTCACTCAGGCTAGTGTCTCTCCTACCTTGACTTGTTTCTGGATTTCCCGGCTCTGGCCTCAGACCCTAAAGCGATGGAGTCTGAGGGTGGCAAGGAGGAGAGACAGAGGGTCCCCCAGCCTCCAAGGGTCTGGGCCACTCTCCTCTGCCCCAGGCTGCAGCCCCCAATGGGAGGCGGAGGACCTCGGCCCCCCAGGCGGCCCCACCAGTGTGTGGGCCTCGAGGAGGCCAGAGTCCATGCTTCTTGCCGCCCTGCGCCGGGCACAGTCAGGAATCCCAGGCCCTGCAGCGACGGTGACACGGCCTGTGGGGGCAGGACAGGCACCCGGTGCCCCAAGGGCTGGTGTGTGCCTGCCCCGTGCAGCTTTTCTGTGTGGCCCTCACGTATCTGGGCAGAGGTTTGTGCGGAACAGCCCATGTGTGTGTTTGGGTGTAGCTGGGCCAGTTGTTGCTTTGGGGCATAGTGGGGTTTGCTGTCTGGGTGCACTGCTCCCCTCGCAGAGAGCGTGCATGCCTGCTACGTGAAGCACTGCTGGCCTCGTGCATTCCTTGGTTACCGCATTGAACAAAGCTGCCGGAGGCTGCTCGGGGCCAGGAGCCCCACTGGATCCTGGGGCCAGAGAGGACCCTGCTATGCCCCAGAGGAGGGGACAAGCGAGCTGAGTGAGGAGCAGCCAAGTGGCCGACAGAGCGCGGGTGCGCACCCGGCAAACCCTCAGTGCCCGCGCACCCGCAGCTCTCTCCTCGCCTTTAAAAAGCCGCAGGGAGCTTCTTAAAAGGAAGCCCTGGGTGGTCTGCTCTTAAATGCGCTCCGAAAAGGTTTTTAGGAGCACGAGAGTGGTGTTTGTGGTCTGGATGACGCATTTCTTTAGGGCAAGGACCCTGTCCCCAGATCCACTGGCTCAGCACGGATTGCGTGATGGCTGGGGGGTTCCGGCGTTGTCCCCGGCACTGGGGTACGAACCCGACTTCTTTCCTGAAGTGTCCGTTTTCGTGGGGGAGAAGGACCGAAAATGAAACGTAATATAGAGTACTTAAAAGATACTATGGAGACAAATAAAGCAGGGAAGGGAATGTTGGGTTGGGGTGCTCAGGAGGGGCCTCACTGAGAAGGTGGAAGGCATCGCAGGGAACAGTGTCGCAGGAGTGGGAACAGCCAGGGTGAAGATCCTGACGTGGTGGGAGCATGCCTGGAGGGTGCCAGGAGCAGACAGGAGGCCTGTGGGATGGGGAACAGAGTGAAGCAGGGGGACCAGAGAGGGGACAGGACCAAGTCAGGTGGGGCCTGAGGACTTTGGATTTTGCCTGAGTGAACTGGGAGCCCCGTAGGGTTCTGAGTCCAGGGTTGGGGTGGGCTGTGCTCAGAGAATGGGGTGTCTGACCTGGGTGTGGACAGGTTCATTCTGGCTGCCGGGAAGACTCCAGGGGACAAGACAGAAGCAGGGAGACCAGCTGTAGACGAGTGGACATCCACTGTGACCGAGGGGTGGGGAGCTCTGCCCAGGTGGGAGTGTGGAGCGTACTGGAACCAGAAGGAGGAGCCTGCAGACCCAGGGGGCTGGATGTGGGTGGGAGGGCTGGGTGGTTCCAAGGTTTGTGCTTTGCTCCTGGGCGGATGGCGTAGCTGCTGACTGGCATGGGGAGGGCTGGAGGAGGCACAGGGTTGGGGTGAGGAGGAGCTTGGTGTTGGCCTGGCGATGGGCATCCCCTGTGTCCTGCGGGCCTGGCTCTTGGGTGCCCATGCAGGACACCTGCTTGCTTTTGTCCCTGGGTCCCGGCAGGTCACCATGGCCTTCGAGGAGGGCTGGACGCTGACTGGCTGCGCCCTCCTGCCCCCGGAGCCTCCCACACACTGGGGATCCCCACGATGGACAGCACTGCTGGTGCAGGAGGCAGGGCCAGCGAGGAGGCTGTGGGGAGCTGTCACCATCTGCTGTCAGAGCCAGCCCTCGGGGGAGCAGGCACCCCAGGGGTCCCAGTGACTGCCCAGCCCAGGACTGTACGTGGGCAAAAATCACATGTCAGGGCCTGAGCTGTGGTCCCAGGCCTTGGGGGAGCTTTGTGAGGGTTTCTCCTTCCCTCTTCCTCTGCCCTCCTCAGCCTGGGCCCCAGGGGACGGGGGACACCTCTTACCTTCCCGGAGCTATGGCACTGGCATGGTGGGGGCGGTGTGGGCTCCGTGCCCGGGAGAACGTGACCGCTCAGCCTGGATCGCCCTGTCCCCAGACCTGTGCTGAATGGGAAGCACCCGACATTCCACCACTTACACACACGGGTCAGGCTGTGCTCAGCTCCTGGGCAGAATGACCCCGAGGGCTCCCCGAAGGAGGCAGTCATCCTCCCGTGTGTGGACACTTGAGGGCTGGAAGGGGAAGTGAGTGTGAAACAGGGAAATGGCTCCTTACCTCCTGCCCTCTTTGGAGAAGCCCCTTTGGGCTCCCTGATCAACGGAGGATCAGTTTTCCATACTGTGGGGTGCAGGCTGGCTAGGCACTGCCAAGGGTGATGCTTGCCCAGGTCTGGCCGGTGGTTCCAAAGGGCCAAGGTGCTTCTCCACCCATATTCTCACAGGGTTTCAGAGCAGCCCCGGGACAAAGGCAGGGTCTGTTCTACCCATTGGATAGAGGAGAACATTGAGGCCAGAATGAACCCACGGTCGGCTGCCAGGAGACCCGGTTCAAGTCCCCGCTCCTTCTGTGGAGGGACCTGAGTCAGTTTGGTGATCTCACGGGCTCTCCCAGCCCTGCTGTTAGGACTCGCCTGGAAGACAGCTTTTGTTGACGATATCCCTAGCCCTCGTACCCACTCCTGAGCCCCTGGCAACAGCAACAGAGATCCAGCCGGAGGCGGGAGACCGGACCAGGTGCTTGAGGGGCCAGCCTTTGCTTCTTCCCGCAGCCCTCCTCGTGCCCTGCAGGAGGCATCGCCCAGGGCCGACTTTACAGTTCGCAGTGGGGGCCGCGGGGCCCGCACCCCATCTCACCCAGCCCTCGCACCCACCCTGCACAGGACACATGCCGTCCGCCCTTCGGAGAGGAAGAAACTGGGAACCTGGGCGGGGGTGCCTGCCAAGCTTGCAGGGCCAGGAAGGGAGGTGCGGCCCACACATAATCCGGATTTGGCTGTAAAGCCAAGCCTCTTGTTACAGCACAGGTGGGGACCCCCACCTTTATAGGTAAACTTCTGAGGCTCAGAAGGGGTGCACAGGCCTGAGGCAGTACGGTGAGGCAGGACGGGGCACTGGGTGAAGGGCGCTGGCAGGTTCTCTCTGATGGGGGGTGGAGAGGTTCTCAGGGCTGGAGGGGGAGGGCAACTCTCCCTCCCTCTTTGAGCTCCCTGACCCCCACCCAAGCAAACAAAAATAAGAATTTATCTATTTGGTCTGTTTGTAAACAGCTCTCTCTACTGCTTTATAGCAAGAAGCTTTTCTAGACTTCTGTTTTGCTTTTGTTACTTGGAAAATAATTGTTCCAGGTTTTGTAACATTTTTATTATATGGTGACTTTTTAAAATAAAAACAACTTTGTCACGACTCTTGCCTGAGTTTGTCTAGGATGACGCCTTGTTTTTACTAGGCACTTGATAAAAAGCACTTACGTCTGGCTTCGGATAAAATGTCTTCCCTGAGCCCCTACGCCGTTGGGGCCCCCCTCTTTGGTAACTGGTGCCCCTGTGGCATTCTTGACGCTCTCTCCTCCACGTCCACTGCCAAGCTCTGGTTCCCTGTCTTTTTCATCCTCTCCTCCCCACGGCACAGAGTCAGTATTTATGGAATAAGATAAGTTATACGACTGCCCAGTGCTTCTGTAATGAGTCAGCACTATATCCACGATCACGTTTCATGATTGGAAATTATGAACAGTCTCAGGCCAGTTTGCGAAGTGTAATTACCCCATTCAATATGGGACCTCCCGGCCTCTCTGGGGTTGGTGAGTGTAGCTGTCTTAAGCAAGGCCTACCTCTAAGCAGACCATATCATAAATGATAAGGCAATCTGCCTGCAAAGCAAAAATCCCCCCAAATTGTATTTTCTGACAACTTAGCATCATGGAAAGCGTTCAAGAACTGCCTGAAGCGAACAGCCTGAAAGCCATGGGCACCTTGGTGGGCTACGCGGTGCTGGACATGCCCTTTCCCCAAGGGGGCGCGGAATCAGGTGTCGGTTCATTGGATAGCCATACCCTGACCGCTCCAGGCTCGAGAGAGGCCAACGACTTGGGTCTTGCCTACGTTGGCAGGTGGTCACTGCGAGTGGGACAAGAACTGGTGTGGGCCACAGGAGGAAGGTTTGGGGCAGCAAACATGGAGCCACATGCGCACACACAGGACATCAGGAGTGAGACTGAGACCTATGGTCTCACAAGAAGCCCAGCTTGCCCAGGGACCTCATTTCTACTGGGACCACTTGGGAGACCTCAGAGCTATGGGGGAGATGTCTGTAGGCCATCAGCCTGAGCCTGGCATCCTTATCCAAGCTCGGCAAACGAATCCTAAAATGGTCAGGCTATGCAGAAGAACCGCAGAAGGCTTACAAGAGCCATCACCCCTCATTATTAAAGAGGGGCCTGATTCACCTCATCAGCGCCAAGCTCCGAAAGCAACCCCAGAGCCATCTCACACCAGGCCATGGGCCCGGGGCGCCCCTCCCCACACCGAGCAGAAGAAGGTCGGCCAGACTCCAACTCTACATTTTTGAAAAATTTATTTTATACCCTTAGAAGCTAAGAACTCTGCCACTCATGAACCAAATTTAGGATTAAGATTCTCCCCTAGTTTATCTACTTCCTTTTGAAATTTTATAAACAAGATTTTGTACACAAGAGGTAGCAGAGGAAAATTCCAGTCTGCTTGTTCCAAGCTCAAAAGGTAACTGCACACATCTCAATGTTAGCAGGGGGGGTGGGGCAAGACAGGGGAAGTCCGAGGACACGATGCTCTGGGTCCTACCATTTCTTCTAGTTGCCAGTGACCGTGTGAGTACTCCAGGAGAAGTCATGGGCAAGATACCCGCTGGGCTGCTCGTTTGTTTTCCTTCCCAGATGGCTCCGAGGGGCAGGCGTGGCACCCTACGGTGGGCCTCGCAAAGGGAGTGTCTTGAGAACACACAGCATTGAGTTAGTTGTGCAATTCCTACTCGATGTGCAGACCATTTTGAAAGGTTTATAAAAACATCTTCGTCCAAAAAATTGGCAGTAAAAATGACTCTTCCAAGGTAAGCCTGTCGTAATTGTCACTTTGTTGTACATTAAAAAAAAAGTCCTCAGCAGGTTTGTTGTAGACTGCAGCCGCTGGAAATCAAGTGGTTCCTGGCAAAGAGGAAGTGATGGTCATTGCAGCAACAACACAAACAAACTTAACCAGAGCGTATGATACACAACAGTGACGGGTGATCCTGATGGAGCCTTACAGTGAGGACAGCAGGTGCTGGGGGTGGTGGGAGGTGTTGTTTCCATAGGAAATAAGGGACTAGAAGTGGCAATTTCACTCCTGAATTTGGGCTCCTGAGAGTGCAGTTGCCAGTGAGGATATCCCAACACAGACCATCACTGGCATTTCAAGGTCATGTCCTACACAATCGTTTTGTGAGGATGGGGGTGGAGAGCAGGCTGCGGTGGGGGCAGTTAGGAAAACAGTAGGACATGGGAGTATTTATGAACTCAAAATCAATTTTAAAACATCACATTTGAAATTCCAAGAAGAGCAGAACCATGTAAAATTTGCCAACTCCTTCTGACCAATTCTCTGAGGGCGCAGTTCTGCTCTTAAACGCAGGCCCGTCTGCAGTGTCCTTGACAATGGCCATCGCTAGGCTGTGGGGGCTGTAGACACACATACAAACTGTGGTCCGGCTGCACAGTCACTTCAACGTTTAGTAGCGAAGGGGCTGGGGGCTGGAGTGCACAGCAGTGAGAGGTGTCTGTCGTGTGTCCACACAATGCGGAAGCCATCAAAAAGGCACTTTGGGGCTGGCCACGCCTCTTTGACTTGGCAAATCTAACCAACAGGGGCAACCTGGCACTTCCTAAGCTTCCCTACGTGCACGGGGAGTTGGAAACAAGGCAGAACACGTAACTAAAGACAAAATAGGGTTGAAAATGTGTGTAGGAACTCAAAATACAAAATGTACAAAATATATGAAATACACTGGCATATCCCCTTCTCCCCTCTGGAGAAAGGGAAGCTGGTTATCTAATCTGAAATGAGTGGATGGTGGTATACTTGGGAAATACCAACAAAATGGACAGTTGTTCAATTACTTTCTGGTTATTTCTGGGAAAATAAATCTTTGTCTCTTTTCAGTGTTCATTAGTCATGTTGAAGAGAAACAGTCTCAAGTTCCTTCTCCGCATTAAAATTACTACAACTCACAGAGCAGTGCTTCTCAACTCAAATATTTAACTTCATTTACAACCAGTACCAAGGGTTTTAGTAATTATATCTTAAGCAAAAGCAAATGATTGCAGATCACATGATTTAAGACTACAGTTTATTCAATATGTCTCCAAGCATTAAAAAGATGATTCTATGAAGTCAAACTCAATAAAATTATAATTTAAAGTGCTTTTTATTTTGCGGTTTTCAAAATTTGGGGAAAAATTCCGTAACTTCTTTAGTGATTGATGTCAAAGAATGCACCTTGTACTTCTGGAGGACAATTTTTTTTTTTTTATTGCTCTTTTCAACCTCAATTATATCAGAAAAATGCCTTAAAGAGCATAATAAATTTCCCAATTTTTGATCCTGGTAACATTTCATCAAGATCCAACTTTTATGCCCAGGGCTCTCATCCTGACCCGTCTGAAATTCTATACAAATAGGGAGACATATTAAATACAAAGGTCTGTGTAAACGGAGTTCTTTAACTACTATTTTACAATGAAAAGGAATTTTATCACCTATCTTTACATCATTTTAAATTGGATATTTCTATTCAATGTTACTGCAAGATTAAAAATTTGCCCCCCACATATCTAAAGGCAGCTTGCTTTTTTTTTTTAAATATAAAAACCAAAGGGATTTCTTTTGTAGCATCATAGGGAAAGCAACGGCTTTACCCCATTCACTCTTGTATGTTCGTAACAAAAAAAGTCTGCCACCGGCTTTATTTCCTAGAATCTCCACAGAAACGTGAATCCCCGTGCGGACTGCCCCAGGATGGCTGATCCGGGGGCAGGAGTTCTCCCACTGCCAAACAGCTCCTGAACCTTCTCCAGGGGCCAAGAGTGCCTTCTTTAAAAACACACACTCCTCTGGGATCACGGCAGGCCCCCCTAGTCCAAGCTTCGGGCTCTTCTAAAGGGCTCAAGGGTGAGAATCTGATTTCCAAACAGCGCTGAGCACCCGGGGAACTGAGCTGACTCCTCACTGCGCGCTCGGTGTGCCTGTTCCTCTAGGGATCCACGTCGTCAAGGTCACTTCTCAACTCGCCTATCATCATGGGGGACTCTGAACCCTTTGAAAAGAGAAGGAAGTTCACTTCATGCACAGTAAAGTTAGAGAAAAGTTTCTCTGCGCCCACTGACCTGTGTTCGGTAAACGAGTGCATTTAACAACTGAAAGTTTATCAAAGGATAATAAAACAGACATGTAACACCTTATATTCGACGGTTCCCGATTATGCACAACTCTCATTTCCATGTCCTCCCAGTCCCTGAAGGCACCCAGCGACTAGGCAACAGTGCCACAGCGCTCGTGAGAACTCAGGGGGGGCACCGAGACGGGGCAGCTGTGCGCTGGGCACCGCGCCACTCTGCCGGAGACGGCTCTGGGTCACTCCTGAATTCTGCTTCTGTCAGCAGCTGTGGCCTTTGGTTTGCACACTAACAAAGTTCTGAATGCCTGCCGTGTGTCCTGGGGCTGCTGGCGGTGGGGGTGGGGAAGGAACAGGGAGTCTCTGCAAAGTGACACGTAAAGCCCAGTGGGAGACAGACCGGGGGCGGGGGGGGGGGAGGCCCGAGGTGGAAGGAAAAAAAAAGGCATTTGATAAACTACAAGAAGACCATTGGTATCCAGAAGTCAGAAAATGAAGGGGGCGGAGGTAGGCAGGGGCCACATCAAGCAGGACTGTGCTGAAGATTCTGGCCTTTACCCTGACAGCAATGGAGAGCCATCGAGGGTTTAAGCAGACGAAGTAGAGGGAAGCAAGAGCGAGGCAGGGAGTTCTCACAAAGCCCCAAGACACTAAGGTGCTCAGGACAATGGAACAGATGCACGGGTGAGATTTAAATGGTCAACCTGGCAGGACCTGTGAGTGGACTACAGTGTGTCCGGGGCACAGGGTGCTGTTTATGATAAGGACACAGAGGGAGGCCAGCTCCGGTGGGGGCGGGTGGAGGCATGGGGCACGGCGGGTGTGAGGTGTCTTTGAGGAAGAGAGCTGGACTGTCCTGTGTGGCACCTGCAAGAATCAAGGTGGTGAAGACGGAGAACAAACAGCTGGAGGGGTTGGAGGAAGGCTGGGAGAGCGAGGTGCCATGGAAGCCCCGGGAGAGAGTGTTTCCAGAAGGGAGGAGTGGCCACCAGGGTCAGATGCTGCGGAGTGCTCCACTATGATGAGGCCTGAGAAGTGTAGGCTACTTGTCACCCGACCGCTGAGCCAGCCACGGGGCAGGGAGCCAGCCTGGAAGAGGTCGAAGGAAGAGGGAGAGAGAAGAAACTGCAAGTCTGGACCATTCTTTGGAGAAGTCTGGCTGTGAAGAAGGGGAAAGAAGGCAGGGGATAAAAGGGAAGAAGAGTTTTTTTAAAAGGATAAGGGAGAGCGGAGTGTGTCGGAACACTGCGGGAGGTGATGTGCAGAGAGGGAGGGGTCGGTGTGTGTGTGTGTACACGCGTGTGCACGCCCACTGGCACGGGCTGAGTCTGGCAGCTGCAGGAGCTTCTGTCCTACAGCCATTATGTTCTCTGCAAATGAAGCAGGCGAAGAGGTAAGCTGCTGAGCACCACCCCGGGTTAAACTGCATCACGGTGCTGAGCTTCCACGTCCCTTCTGGAAAGTAAGGGTTAACAGGGACCTCACAGGGTGGTTATGAGGATCTGAAAGGTTAAAAAAAAATAGCACAGACCTCACCAACAAGATTCGTTTAACCAGGCCTCTGTGCCAAGCACTGTGGTGGAACTCCAGAGGAGACCACCCTCCCGGCACACGCCTGCTTCACCAGTGAGCGCTCCATACGTACTTCACTCCTTTGCCCGCTAGACTGAGCAGTACTGAAAATGTTCATTTTATTTTTTTTTAGTAAGCTTAAGGGTATCCTTTGACTCCCCTGACAAGTGGGCATTTCAATGGCCCTTCAAGGGTCTGTGTTTCCAGGAAGGCTGGTGAGAGTCAAAGGTGGAGGGGGTGATTTGTGGCAACCCGGCAGAAGGAAGAGAACCTGCTGGGAGGAACGCTGCTGCGGCCTGGCCTTATTAGGCCCAGCTCCAAGGCGACAGCGCTGCCGGCCAGAGCCTCGTGGAAACTCACTCGGCAGCACTGTTCCATCTGGAAGCACACTGCTGGTGAGCCCCGGACAGGGAGCACTAGAGGGCGAGGCTGGTGTCTCCTCTTTTCCTTGATTACGAAAATTCTTTTGGAAAGCTTGAGAGCAGGTGGTGCCCTTGCCCATGAAGACGCGGGCCCCTGCTATACCTGTTGTAAACGCCTCTCTCCGTTCTCATTGGCGGGACTGCTCTCCGACCCGTTACTGCTTCCCGACTGCTCTTTCTCATTCAGCAAAGCTGTGGCATAGGCTAACGTGTCCTGTGAGAGATTGAAACACAAGAGGAAAAGTCGGGGGGTGCGGTGGCAGCAGTGCCACCGAAGAGACAAGCCTTCACTCGACTGCTGGAGGCGGCGGGAGCCTCCCGGTGGCGCCCGCCCGGCAGCCACCAGCGCGCCCCTCAACCTCTGTGATCCACACTGCTTTTCTTCTGGCACATAATTTGCCAACTGCCCAACAACATGCTGTCTTCACAGAAATTCGCCTCTTCTGCCCCCTCTCATTTTTCTTTCTTAAAGATTTTATTTATTTATTTGATGAGAGAGAGAACACAAGCAGGTATTCAGCAGGCAGAGGGAGAAGCAGGCTTCCCCCTGAGCAGGGAGCCCGATGCGGGGCTCGATCCCAGGACCCCGGGATCATGACCTGAGCTGAAGGCAGACGTTTAACCGACTGAGCCACCCAGGCGCCCCAGCCCCCTCTCGTTTTTAACCTACACCTCTTGTCTCGGAGGCTGTGGCTTCTGAGAAACACACAGAAAATCCTACCTGTGGGATTTCAAGCCACGTAAAACCAAAAGAGAAGCCTCACCTGAGCTGAAATTGTTCGCTGAAAGGTTTTTCCAGTCGATGTTTCATTAGAGACATTACTCTGTGGTGTCCAATAATGTTCTGACATCTGAGATGGAAGGTCAAAAACGCCATCAGACACGACAAACGCCCACGTGAGTCCACAATTACTGCCATTAGATATGTGAATATAAAAAGCATCTAACACGGCACACAGATCGACCCAGATCTATCACACCGGCAGGATTTTACGTTCACTCTCGAGTTCAGTGAACCACTAGGTCTCAGATATTCACCCCTGCTCCCTCACCTATGAAGTTCAGACACTGTATCGAGACACGAACTTCATGCGTAGAGCTAGGTATCAACTGGACTGAAAAAAGTTGGAAGTCTGAAAATAACTCTGAGGCCAGTCTCCAAATGAAGAGCTTTTCCCTGACAAGATGTGCTGTTACTGGTCCCCGCGTGACAGCCAGCAAGGCTCAAGCCGCAGTTAGTTACCTTCTTCTGTAGCCACTGCACCGCCCAGCTCCAGTGGTGGGAGTTCTCCTTGAAGTAGTCCTTGGCAGCAGGGCACCTGGGGGGGTTGTAGAAGCCAAATGGTTCCTTGCAAATATACTTGTTTCATCTATACTACCTTTTGATTTCGATACACAGATGCAACTTTCACTGAGGTTCAGTTGTATTTCTACTAAGTTTTTACTTGTTTTGGTTTGGATACACTCCCATGTGTAAACTTCGAGAGGCAGAAAAAGGTAAATGTGTAGTGAAAAGTCTCTTATCTAGAACGACCTCATCCACTCAGTTCTATCACGGTTCAAAGATGGAAACTAAAAAATAAAACAAAAACCCCCCCCACAACACATCATCCATTTAATAAGAGAAATGATTCTTAAAAGAATCAAACTGGCCTTTAAATTTTTGTGATTTGAGTGAGAATGGTATTAGGGGAAAAACAATTTTGAAGTGTGGTCCTGGAGCCCTCTCTCTTTGCATTTTTCCTTGCCCACTTGGAAAGCTGTCCTTCACATTCAAAGATAGTATTGACGGCGACACTGTGTGTATAGAATGGAGGGATGGAGGACACGCATCAGACATACCATGCGGCCCCATCAAGATTTGGAAATGCCATTTAGGCAAGTACTTATGCTGTCTCGCTGCCAACACCAAGCCTAGCTAACGCACCCACGATTGTGGCAGGATGGTCTCCATCTGTGTCCACAATGCTATGTCATCTGGACAAGGCACGTTCACGCATTACTTCGACCAGGCTCTCAATGCATCTGAGGACGCTCACATGCAGCAGCTGAGGCTCAACAGATTTCTTACTCTTCTTTTGGCACAAACCCAAGGATGGCAATCCCCATGCTTAAGAGTCAGTAAAAATCTGGAGCAAAATCAGTGATGCTCTAAGGCAGGCTGGGTGGGGACTCAGTGGCAGCCGTGCAGCCCGTCGGAGCTGAGGCGGCAAGCCACGAAGGCCCCTTCTAACACTGAGGACTTTTGCTTTCCATGTGGCTGTCGGCTAATGAATGGACCAAGACATCGTGCTACAGCCGTACAAGGGGGTGGTATTCAGCCTTAAAAAAGGAAGGAAGTTCCGGCACAGGCCAGAACACGGATGAACCCGAGCGCCTCAGCCTAAGTGAAATAAGCCAGGCACAGAAGCACAAATCCTGTACGATTCCACTCAGGGGAGGCACCTGGAGTCGTCAAATTCAGAGAGAAAGTAGAAGGGTGGCTGCTGGGGGGAGCGGGGGCGGGAGTGCAGGGTTGGTGCTGAGTGGGGACTGAGCTTCAATCTGGGAAGATGAAGACGTTCTGGAGACGATGGTGTGACGGCTGCCCAATAAAGTGGAGGAACTTATTAACGCCACTGATGGGGATGCCTGAAGAGGGTTAAAATGACCAATCTGATGTTGCGTGTAGCGTGCCGCCGTTCGACAAAGAGCGAGCCCCTGCCCTGAAGGCCGTGAGCCTGTGATGCACCCTCGCTCCGACTGCAGGCACGGCCCTCACACCGCCCGCGACGTGCGGCTGGCTGGCCGGCCGGCCGGCCTCACAGAGCTGTTGCAGACATTAAATGAGAGAGCACAGTGCCTGGGGTCACGAGTCTAAGCAGCTAAGACATGATTCTGTCTCTTGAGTGACTGTTTTCAAAGTGGGAACCTAGAACCTGACAGAGCTGGTAGTGAAGCTACATGACTGAAAGCTATCTCAAACCAAAGTTCATGAACTCTTGCTGGGAAGGTCCCCGAATCTGCCTTGATTCCTGCCTTTCCCACACAAGGCCTGCTGATTTAGCCTTTTTCTTGGATTCCATAAGATCCTTGGCTCCTCTGACAATCCCCCTTCACAGCTCTTCAAGATCACGTGACTAGGTTTCCGAACCATCCAAGCAAGCATGCCCTGAGTCAGACTCTCTAGGAACTAAACCAAGGGAGACTGGTTTCCCGGTCCTATCTGACTTGTAACTGAAGACACCAGTTCCTCCCTGCATTTTGAGTCGATACTTACTTTTGAGCAAGAGTTACGAGAAATTTGACACACTGGTAGCAGCGACTGCTGTCCACATGGTTGCTGTGGTGCATCAGGGCTGAGTGAAGAGAAGAGGGAATTGTGACAAGAAAGCACGACACGGAAAGTGGGTCCCAGTAACGCCACTTTCTTCTCCTGAACATTCACAACCAACTGGTTTGAGTAGCAGAGAGGGCACTTAACACAAAGCATGGCAGTGCGGCTCAACAGGATCCCCCAAACTGTAATGGGCAGAGACACTGCTTTCAATGGTATTCCAGAAACATATGTGGCGGTGGGAGTTTGGCTTTTGGGAGAACTGAATGAAGCTCAAACTTCCACAGCTGATTATTCACTCAGACCTCCAAACTTTTCCATGCTCCTGACAGAAGAGCGGTTACAACACTTTCAGCTTGATAAATGGACATTTATGATATGTGTTAGGTTCAACAAATGCTTCCTACTCTGTGCTTTGTGGATATAAAAATAAATATCCTTGGTGTGGGCTCTCGAGGAGCGTATGGTCCGGAAGTTCCGGAGAAGCCGGGCGCTACTTGGTGGCCTGCGACGTTGCAGCTACACAACTTTTTAGCTCACATTACTTTGCTGCAATAAGAGGAGGTCTTCGATCTCTTGCCACAGAGCAAAATCTAAAATGACTCAGATTAACTGGAAATACTGGTGGGGTGGTGGGTGTTGGAGAGGACAATTTCTAACCACACTTTTTCTAAGAAACAGCTCATTAAAGGCACGTTAGCCTTCTGAAAAAGAAAACTGCAAAAAGCTTTTATGAGTAGATAAATTTGGGTGCATTAATACCACAGGTGAAAAAATAAAACCAATCCCATTTCATGAGCTTGACAACATCCTGAGCCTGAGGTTTTAGTTTTTCCCTCCCTGATGGCTGCAGAGTGGACTGAAAGATTTCTGGGATCAGAAAGTAGCCTTTAGCTTGCTGAAAAAAGTCACGGCACCCCTGACTCTTAGCCGACCCAGTAACAGGACCCCAAGCTGCACTTTGCTGACTCAAGGGGGAGTGTCCAGCTGGTAAGATCCTCTGGTTTCACGTCTCCTGACCGGAATGCGGAGCCCATGGCCCCAGCAGGCCTCTCCCGGAGCCCTCGCTGACCTGCGCCGGGGCCGAGTGCCGGGGCAGACCGGTCAGGGAGGAGGCCAGCCAGAACAACAGGCTGTCTGTGCATCTGCTACAGACATTTCTCAGGAAGGCCAGGCTACTTGCCTAATAATCCATTTTCTGTCTCAAATACAAATTTGACTCGCTCCACTTGTATGGGATCTTCAATGACCTGTGACAGAAGGAGACAAAGACTGGTAAATGAACGAAGGAACTTGTATGAGGCCACTCAGTGGTGTCTTTTAAAAATGATTCTGTGCAAGAGATTAATTTAGTTCTTAACAAAACCCAATATAAATGAACAACAACATGTCACTGGCTTGTATCTCAACAGTGTCTTAAATTTTATTATTTTAAATACAATGTACTCCCTGATGTAGGGCTCGAACTCATGACCCCAAGATCAAGAGTCACATGTTCTACTGACTGAGCCAGCCAGGCGCTCCTTAAACTTTAAGCTAAAGATGAAAAATTATTAAGTAATAGTTGAAGACGCATTCATTTCTTATCTCTGTGTTCTTACTTGCTACCTCTGTAGTTTTCCATAGGAAGCTACAGTGGGCTACAAGGATGTATATTTCATGATCCCAAGGATAAGTGGTTTAGGGTCTAAACTGTTTACCAAGACCGTGTCGGAGTTATGCTCCGATACAGGCTCTAGCTGCTGCCAGGAGGTTTATGCCACGCCCCGCGGGGCTGAAACTGTGTCCTGCTCATGGCTGGACTTCTAGTGCCTGGCACTGACCTGTGCGCAGGGCAGTAACCTCAGTGGTTTGCTGCTGAGCAAACAATACACAGTCCGACTCCTGAGGAGCAACAATCTTCCGTATTTTGTAAAAGTACAAAAAGGAGGTAAAGGACCAGAGAGATAGGCTTTTTATAAATGCCATCCATGATGTCTGTCCTTGTTCAGAAGTGTTTATTAAATGCCCACTCTGTGCCCAGGCCTATGTTAAGTCTTAGGGAACTAAAGGGAACCTGGTCTCTCCCTCTCTTTAGTGAGCCCTGGGCTGGGCGCTCATGGGCTCATACCCAGTCACCAAAGTCTACGGTTTCTCTTTCCCAAACACATGGAGACCACACCTATGTGGTCTTCCAATTCCAACCTGGCTTCCTTCTTCAGTCAGTCCTTCAAAACAAGTACCAGCGGAACCTTTCTAACCTAAATCAAATCACGTCACTCTCCTGTTAAGGCCTGCCCATAGTGCCCATCGGTGACGGCAGAGGTTGCAACTGAAACACCTACAGAGGCCAGGATGACAAGAAACAGACAAAGTGGGCTAGGTACTATGATATGAGGCAGCGAGGACAGAGGGCGACTGGGTAGCACATGCCTCATCAGAGGGGGGCGAGCTGACTGCTCTAGGGGATGGGGGCAGGCGGGAAACGGGGCCAATTCATCACACTACCTGCTTTCTCAGGATAGGCCAGAAGCCAGAAATCACAAAACAGAACAACTTTGGGTCAAATAAAATAGGCATATAGGCAGAACCTGGCCACCTGTGTGCAACCAAGGGCCTACGGGAAAAAGCCCACATGCTCTGGGTACCGGCAGCCTTTCATGATCTGGTCTGGGCTTTTCTCCCCAAGCCCTCATCAGTTCCCTCTTCTGGTCATGCCACTTACTTACAGTCCCTGCACACCAGCTCTGGTGGCCAGCATGGGTTCTGGGGCCAGCTGCCTGGCTCAAATCCTGGTTCTGTCACTTTAACTCGAGGGTGGCCTTGGGCAAATCCCTCTTCACTCAGCATGTCACTGCTTACAACTGAACTCTGCCCTGCTTTTCATACTTCTGAAACTGGGACACATCCTACCGTCAATTACATTCCAGTTTCATGGCTTGTAAGCAGTATTTTTAGTAGCCCACATAGAGAGCCAATGGTGTCTTAGATTTGAACGAACTGTAGAGCCAGCAATTTACCTCTGACGGTTATCACGAGGTTTAAAGGAGACAATGTCTGTGTGCAGCACGGTCCCCCACGCAAGGTGAGGCCGTCCACGCTCCCTGGCTCTCTGCACTGTCCCTCCTGGATTGTCCAGCTCCCTCCCTGGTCTCCTACCACTCGCCTCTCAGCCAGTAATGACAAAAACCTGACTCCTACAGAGGACTCATAAGTGCAGACCAAGTGAGTGCAAAACGATACAAAGGCACACACTTCTCTGTTTATAAACATGTGCTGACTAGTAAACTTAATCAACAGCACAAGGGGATCAGAACATCTTTCACTTACCAGTATCTCATGAAGCAGTTGGAACGTATTCTTTAACTCATGGGGTGGAGCTGTTTCTAGTTGGTTCTGAAATATTTTTCAAAAGCATAAAGGTTCCAGTGAGTCTTCAGTGGAAAGCCCGTCCGAGCGGCCAGCAACAGGGCTGGCCTCAAGCTCTACTTCTACTGCTATCACTTGCCCTCGCTGGGCCTCAGTTTGCCCGAATGCTAAACCTGGGGCTAATGCAGTCTCCATGGACTACAGCACTGCCACGCTGTCCCACTCGACTGTGACATTAGGGAGGAGAGAGGAAGAAAGGCAGAAAGGAAAGGAGAGAATTTTAAGTGAACAGGCCCAAATTTCTGTTTCTGTTTCCTTCATACACATCCTGTTCTGTTTTCCAGGATATGTGCTCCGGGGTAAGTACGCTATGAGGGACGTACGTAAGAAAAGTCAGCTTATGATGCAGAAAACTCTGCCACGAGTTCCTTTTTGCTAAGGAAGGTGTGAGGGTTCGTAAGAGTCACACTGCTGTGCACCTGCAGCCTCGTGCGTGTGTACTGCGGGGGAGGACACAGCGTTACAACCCCGCCCTTCCGAGGCGCCAGGGCCGCCGTGTCTTTACCCTCTGTGAGGTCAAGTCATACCTCCCGCCACTTTATAGACGAGGAGATCGCCTGAGGTCATATAACGAGTGAAGGGTCAGAAGGAAAACTCAATCACCTCTGATACGGGGCTGCACGGAAAGAGGCTGAAGGCAAACACATTTTCCTAAGAGCCTGAACACACAGTCCCCTGATCAGCTGCTGCCTGTCCGCACTACCTCTGTTACTATTACAAACCCCGGGGCAGGCACGAAGCGTGGCAGAGATCCCGTGGGCAGGGACGACTATAAGCAGTGCACATTCACAGAGAGACCTGCAAGGACACGTATCCAGGTGACAGTACTGATCCCTGGGGAAGGGCGGACAGGGGACAAGGTTGGTTGGTGGCGGTTCAAGTGGACTTTGGCCTTATTTGTAGGTTTTAATTTTCCACAAAAAAAAATGCAGACAGGTATTATCCATGTAATTCAACATTAAAGATGAAAAATAAAACCTAATAAAAATATGTGCAGACTTGCCCCGCATCGGGCTCCTTGCTCAGCAGGGAAGCCTGCTTCTCCCTCTCCCACTCCACCTGCTTGCGTTCCCTCTCTCGCTCTCTCTCTCTCTCTCAAAAAATAAATAAAAATCTTAAAAAAAAAAAAAAATACGTGCAGACTTAAAGGTTTTTCTGGTAATCCCCAGAAAGGCAGTGAACAACTTGGTTCAGAGCACAGCCCTGGAGCCAGACCGCCAACGCTCAGATTCCCACTCTGCCACTTACTAGTTGTGTGACACGGGGCGAGAGGCACTTACTCTGTGCCTCAGTTTCCTCAACTGTAAAATGGTGACGATAACAGGACTGAAATTGGAAAACCGTTTTACATAATAATGGTCACCACAGCGTATCATTAACTATGAAATATATTCTAAATAGTTAAAAATTGAGCCCAGTACAAACGTGCCTCGCTAGGAAGGGAATGGCTAAGTAAATTACGGTACACAAGAAGATGACATATCCTCAGAGACAACTTAATGATACGGGGAAATACTTCTAATGTCAAGTGAAAAAAAAAGACACAGAATAACAAAGACAGTAAAATTCCAGTCATGTTAAAATACACGCAGAGAAAATAAAGGGAGACCTGGGAGAATGTTCATGGTGATTATCAATGAATGGTGAGACTCTGAGTTCTTTTTATTCTGTATTTTTTTAAAAATGAGCCTGTACTATTTTTATGATCAGGAAAAGCAACCGAGGTTATTAAAAGAAGCCTATTGCCTGGAAGTAGAGGAATACTTCCTGGAGTCTCCGTGGCAGGCTCTCAGCCCTCGCCAGGCCTCACTGAGGCCCTACCTTAATGAAATGCAGCACGGTGAAGGAGAGATGCTCATTACAGAAACAGCAGTACACCACCATCTCGATGAGCGCCAGGAGCGAGCCCGTCAGCTCTCGCAAGGCAAACATTACCTGGTGCGGGAGCATAAAAGGAGTCAAGTTTTCTTAGGTCACAGTTAACTGTCGATACGTTGTTTCTGATTTTAACGGAAATGTACTCAGACTTAAGATCTTCAACATCCCCTCAAAATAGGCTTTCTTTAGAACTGCTACGGGACTAAGTCTGTCTGAACAAAATCTGCAAATGTGCACCTTTTTTTCCCGGGAGTCACTTTCATCAGATTTTCAAAGGGAAATGCGCCAAATGTATGCCCCCAGCACTAAATTAAAAGAATCACTGACAGATCCCCAAAGTAAACAATGTTAAGCTAAAAAAAACTTAAAAAAAAAAAAAAAAAAGAGATACATAGCACAGCACTATTGACATGATTAAAAAACCAGTGTGACACACGGCTCATGGGTTTATACATGTAAATCAAGTTTTGGAAGAGGAACTGGAGGATTAAGTTCTCAAGAGGAGGTAGCTCTGGGCAGAAGGGGAAGGGGCCCAGGCTGGAGATGGGCCGCACAGTGTGTGGTGCAACGGGGGCCGTAAGCAGCCCACTCCCACACTCCTGCGGTTTATAAAACACGTGTGCTCCAGAGTTGTGGTATTTCAGGACCACAGACACATACAAAAGATGGGGAACAAAATCCTCTGAGAATAAACTGAGCATCTGTGATTGCTGAAGAGTTGTTCACCTCCTCCTGAGACCTGGAGGGGAAATTAGCTGGGCTGGACCTGGAAGTCCGATCCCTGGTTGCAGAGAGGACTAATAAAAATTCTCTTCAGCTGCTCATTTCTTTCTGACATATACCCAGGAAGCAATATTAATTTGAAAGAACCATTTCTTCTCTTAACATCACAGTGACACATGGAATATTACAAAAGGCATTTTTTCTCACGTAGACAATGACAAGAAGAAAAAGAAAAAGGCTCCAGAAGACCAAGTACATACCTCTAACAGGTAAGGCTTTCCTTCAGACAGGAACAACAAGGCTTCTACTTCCTCATGGAGGGGCAGGAGAGGGCTGGAGGGGGCGACACTAATGGGTGGCCGTTGTTTAAACATACCAGGAGCTTTAGGAGACCAAAGAAACCAAGCCTGTTTCAGTTGATGTTACTTCATGAGAGAGACACCTACAAGGTGAAGCGGTTCTCTAGAGATTCACACATGAGATGGCTCGGTACTTAGAGCCTGTTCCCTCACGGCCTAGCGGGGAAGCCAGGCTCGCAGACAGGAGAAAACATGGACCTGTTTCTCGCAGTGTGTGCCTAAGTTGTCGGGGCGACTGTTTAGATCTCCCAAGACAATCTTTCAAAGAAGTACAAATATAAATAGTGTATGACAGAAAATGCCCAAATGCCTCTGAGGAGACGCCGGACAAGATACGTGTTGCTCCAACAACTGCCCTCAAACACTGGCCACCACCACCACCTACGCTAAGCAGAACTGACCAACAGGGAGGGGGTGAGTCACCCCACGTGCTAGAAAACAAGCACCCGCACTCTTTCTTTTACAAACCCGTCTGCACTCCCGAGTTAGGTAGGCAGCCTTGTCTTTTCAGGTGCGTGAATCGGAGTGAAGGAAGCATCCTGCCTCACAGCCACTGAGCGCTCCCCAGAGCACAGCGATGCTCTGTGCTTTCCAGCAGATCTTCCTGGTCACACCGCACGAATGCCTACCACAGCTGCTGCTGGTCAGAGGCACGCCTCACACCCTGCGCCCTACGCTGCTTCCCGGCTGAGGCCTGTGCAGGCTACGAGCCTGGCCGCGCTCTGGCTTCCCATGCCTCACAAGCTTGCGGAGGGGATTAAACACATAGCCCAGAGCTCCATGGAGACACAGCACACAGAAAACCCTGGATACTTTTCAGCTGCTTTGTTGTATTATTATTATTATCATTGCCGTTGGTGCTGTCCTGACACGGCCTAGGAACAGTATAAAAACGTGCTACGCATGTAGATTAGAACACTGGGTAAGCACGGAGGCAACATGTGTCTCAGCTGCACGAAATGAGGACTGAGCTACTGGCTTTGGGGGACAGAACAGGAAAGGTACCAAATACATCTTACATTCAAACACATTTCAACGACATAAGCTATATCTGAATCCTCTTTAGCTCTACAAAGTACTTTAACATTTTATCTGATTAATTCTCATTACACCTGGGGAATTATGTTTTTAGTATTTCCATTTTGGCCTGAGGATCAGAAAGGTCAGGTGGCTTGGTCAAGTTCACAATGCTAGGAGACTCCAACCCACACTTGGCTATTTTCCCCACTAGATTAGCTGTGCCAATTATGGTGATGAATGAACTCTGAATTAGCCTCTAATCCCAGAGTTTTTTTTAATACCTGTATACCCCATCCCATCAAATAAATGATTTGACTTTCTCTTGTGACGAACTAATAAAATAGAGTGAAATTTAACATGCATTAAAACAAAAAATTTTAAAGTGTTCCTCAAATATCAAACAGCCAAATGGGAATTAATATTCATTTAACTGCTAACATTATTAGTCTCCATGCATTATCGACAAATTCACTCTCTCATTCTTCTGCTGGATTAAAGATATGTGAAAGCTCACCAACGTTCCTTTGGGACGAGACATCTGAATGCAAAACCAGTAATGCCACCGTATTATGAAGATTCCCAAATTCTCGTGCTTGTGCTGAACTCCACCGACGTATCTGTCGACAGAGAAGATAGACTGGATGTTAGTGTTTTGGTTTAGAAATGATATGAAAAGGAAGGGAAAGGATGGGCTGGCTCATGCCATTTTGAGCCATGAGTCTTTCTCAATGTCTGATAGTAGAAGAGATCAAAGTAGAAGGAAGTCATGGGTTTTAAGTTAGCTGAAGATGCTTTTTTCTTATAGACACATTAACTTGTGTTCTAAAATCATTCCATTTCTCTATTCAAGTTAGGTACTGAATGCTTCTGATGTGCTGGGTAACTTTCCTGTACCCCAGTACAATGGGGAAAACCCGGGAGGCTGGGGAGCTGGTGGCCGGGCCCTCCTGTGCTATTCACCGTGCTAGGTGGATATGGGCAAGCTCTTTACCGTAATTGCACCCGACCTCTCCATGCGACGGCAGAGACGACCTACCTGCCCACTTTGTGGTTCCAATGAAACATGAAAAGTGAAAATGTTTCCACATTATGTGTGCTCCACAAAGGTAAAACAATATGGATTATGTAACACTATTAATTACATTCAATCTTATTTAAATTACAGTCAACGTCCATCAACTGCCAGCGTCACCGGAGTCCCAGAAAGGAAGAGCGCGCAGTGAACAAAGACACCGTGAATTGCAACGCCCCGCCAACACACAGAGCGTGCTGTGCTGACAGTACTTGGGAGTGCTGGGCACGAGAGGCGCTGCGTAAGCAGCGCTTACCATCAGTGCACGGTCACATTTTTCACATTTAAATCTGTCAAACAGAGGACATACGGTGATGGGAGAAACACGCCAGCACAGAAACGCCAAGCAGGAGAGCCATTGTGGGATCTAGCTAGCCCCACTGCCACAGACAACTTCCCTCTCGCTCTATGTGGACATCATGAGGCCACACTGCTCTGCCTCGCGGCCGCGTCCTCCCCCACTACGAGTTCCCCCACACCAGCAACCTCCGCCGGTACGGCCTTGCCCGCTGTCCCTGAGGGCACGTGGAGGCCCCGGTGCCTCTGTTTCCTGAAGGCTTCTGCAACCCCCTAGTCAGAGCCCATCTTTCCTCCTAGGACACTTTTGGACTGATAGTCTCGTTAGTCATTTCCATGGTGTCATCAGACCAAACTCTGCCAGGAGGCTGTAAAAACAATCGAAGTCCAAAGAACTTTAAAAGCTATGTAGTACCAGCACCTGGACTCTTATGAGATGAAATATGTTCATCGCCACAAAGAGAGAAACCATGAGGCAGCAAAACCATGGCCATCGCACGGGGCCATAAAGCAGCGGGCGTTACCTGGTTGTTTTGCCGGTTGGCCCCGAGGAGAAAGCTGGTCATGTGTCTCAGAGCGGAGTGCCTCAGAAGAAGATCCCCGGCCCGGATACCTTGCTGTCACAAGATACGGACAATGACAAGTTACAGGTCTCTCCAGACAAAAATTTGTATTAAGAGCACAGTTAACTGGGAAGTTGTCAGCGGTCAGTAAGTTTTTAAATGCTGTAATTTACATACAGAAAGCACCTGTTAGAACTCTGGGGTTTCAACAACCTCACACTGCTCCACAGTGGCTGCTCCACAGGCCCCGAGGCCCTGGTTCTATTGCAGCCTCCCGCTGCTTTCAGTACCTACATCTGCTGTATCAGAATTCTGGCAAGCAACAGAGCCCACAAATGCAAATTCTTAAGAGACCCTCATAAAACCTTATCTTTTTTTTTTTTTTTTAAGATTTTATTTATTTATTTGAGAGAGAGAGTGAGAGAGACAGAGAGCACGAGAGGGAAGAGGGTCAGAAGGAGAAGCAGACCCCCCGCTGAGCAGGGAGCCCGATGTGGGACTTGATCCCAGGACTCCAGGATCGTGACCTGAGCCGAAGGCAGTCGCTTAACCAACTGAGCCACCCAGGCGCCCAAAACCTTATCTTTAAATCCAGTATTGACCAGTACAAATTTTTTCCATGCATAAAAAATTCCTTTAGACTAGAAATCTGCTGTATTAGGAAAAGATACTAGAAAAAAAATCACTTACCTTTTGTACAAAAGTGTTGAATAGGAAAAAGTACTGAGCACAGTTTTTACAGTTTTCTGGGACATCTTTATCCAACAGAGCAAGCAGTACCTCCAGTAACTGATGAAGGCTCTTTAACTGGTTAGAAGAAAGATGAAACCACGTAAAGAAAAAGAATGTAAGACCGACATTTGTTAATCTGAAGTAAATCACCGTAAGAACAAAAGTCAAGTCTGATCGATACAATCCAGTCTCAGATTCAGATGGATTTATGCTTTGGAGAGCAAAAACAGAATCATCACTTTATGTTCCAGGGAAAGACTGGTACTGTAGAAACCGTTAAGAGGAAAGCCTAGTCTTGTTTTCTAGATTTCAGACTCAAGGGCAGGACTCCATGGCTAATGGTCACATTTTCTGCAGAGCCAATTTCTCTCTGTGTCTTAAAAGAAAGCAGGGGGTTTAGAGGAAACACTTCTGAATCCCTCCCTCCACTATGCTACGTCTTCACATAATCACAGATGCAAAGAATAAAAACACAGACACAGGCATAGGGGCCAGAAATCAAGCCAATGGAGCAAATGGAGAGCAACAGCCTGACAGAATGACAACGGCAATATCAACTCAACCGTGAACTTACTTGAAAGCCCGCTGACGCCTCATGGAAAGCTTTGAAAAACATTTTATTTGTTTAGAAACCATTTTGGTTATCACATTGCTTCTTCTTTCCCTCCCACCCTGGTTTTGGACAAGTCCCTGGAAATGCATCTGTGACTGGAGAATTAAGACCAGCTTACTACTCTTGTTAGTTCATCTCCCCTGAAGATGGTGTTCACAGGCTTCTGAAATATTCCCATCCGTCCTGTCACACTCATTATAAATACAGTAAGACCCACATTTATATAGCACCTCATTTTCAAAGTACTTTACAATATAAAGTGGGGGGCCAGAGGCACCATTTCCATGATGGGGGGGAAACAGACATAAAATACATCAGCTGGATAGCGGATAGAATTCACTGAGGCAATGGCTCGCATGCTTATGTCCTCCACCACTCCCTTCCCTTCCTACCACCTGTGCTCCTGCCTCTAGAGGTTGGTGGACTACTGTGCCATAGCCTGACCCCATCTGTAGGGAGACTGCACTAATTCTGCTTTTATCCTCTGTCTGGGTTGGCACATGGGAGGAAGGAGGACAGTAAGAGGCCCTTATGTTAAATATCTTAGAATAGCTCCACGGGGATATTTCAGAGCAATGGTATCCAAACTGTCCTAAGTGGCTCCCAATGACCGATTTTATATCTTCTGCATCCAGTTAAGGTAAAGTTTGAAAAATGGTCTTGCTGTTTAAGCTTATTGAAAACCAGTGCCTCAGAGCAAACGTCAGCTTCTTTACAATTCCCGGAACTGAGACACGGTCTTCTTCTAGGCCCTCCCTGAAGGGCGTATTTGACCTCCTTGTTCACTCTGGGCTGAGCAAAGCTCCTGAGGTCTAACAGTGACCTCTGGGTCGGGCATTGTTGAAGGGTGCCAGGTACTGTAACTGGGTTAGCATCTTTCTTTAAGGACTTGCTCAAGGTTGAACAGCAGAGTAATATCTGGATCTGAAGCAGCAATTCCTAGAATTTGCATTTAGTTTATTGAGACACACTGCCTCCAGCCAATGTCTACAAGGAGCCAATCAGATCTGCACATAACATTTTTCAAAGTTTTCCATGTAGTGTCAGCTGTTTGAAACAGCAAACTTGGGAAGAAGTGCTATATTTGTTAGGACTTAATAACAGATTGAATAATCAGACTTACAGTATATGTCATTTATTTCCCTAAGACTTAAAATTTGGGGGGATTGAGGACAGTAATAAATACCATGGTTTGTTTTCGCATGTGTGGAACTGTGAAACAGAAAATACGTTGTGGAAAACAGAATTAGGAAGAAGAAATTCAGAAGAACAGGAACAAAGATTAGGGAGTAACAGAGACCAATGAAGAAACTATCTTGGCCGCTGCTCCTGGATGGACGGCACTATTTGGTTTGGCTGTCAATTGCCGGATTTGTATCATGCAAATAGCTTAGTAGGAAAGAGACAAAGTGCGGCTCAAAATGCCTGCTGGTCTAGACCAGAGTCTCTAGACTCATGTTAGTCTCAGTTCAGCGAAATCTAACACAGACTCTTGAGAGAAGACTCTGAAAAAGGAGTGCTCTAGAAAATCCTGAAGCAGACCAGAGCAGACCTAGATTCCTAGCCTATCCTGACTCCTGGGATAGGAGAAGGCAAGGACAGCATAACTTCTACCCTGGCATTTATCAGAAAGGCAGTCCATGGGAGGTGCGTTCTATGCAGCAAAATTACCAGACTCCAATCCTAAGCTCTCTTTCTTATTATGTGCAATACAGAACACTTGGTAGGAACAGAATGTATAAATAACGTCTAAGAAATGAGACCGACCTTATCCTGATAAAACAAGGCACTGTCTAGGGTTTTCTCCAGAATGGTGGCCACAGCAACTCGTACTTCTCTCACACTGCACTCCAGCAAGAAAATCCTAAAACACAGAGAGAGAAAAGACGCACACTGAGAAAGCAAAATGGATTTTGATAAACCAACCTCAGGCCCACCTACTATCCAAGAAACAAAATCCCTCCAAGATGCTGGGTCAAGGTTCCTGAGAGCTTTGGGACACACTCACAGGCTACTGTGATGAAGAAAGAAAGCCAAACAGGAAAACCAGACCCCTGGATGCTGAAAAGCGTATTTTCCCCCTTCTCCCTTCTCCTAAAAAATGAGCCATCTGTATAAATGTAATGGCGTAACTGATACATGGATGTAAAGAGATATGAAAGCAAAGAACCTAAAATGTTATAAATTCTGTTCACTCAGTAGTTCTCCCACGGGCACCCTTCCCTTTGAATTTTTCAGAATAAGATAACTAAAGTTCACAGTCAAGAGAGCCCCTCCTACTCCACCTGTGCACCAGTATTTCTACCCTTTTCCTCTCCCTCCCCAGGCCTTGTTACCTAAGCCCCCTATACGAGCATTTGTAGCCCAAGAGGTCACGCTTCCCTCCTTTCTTCGTCTATGATGGTGATGACCACAGCAGTCAAGGTTCATCAGGTGCTTCCATGATCTTGGGCACTGCAAGCGCATAATCTACTGCAATCCTTTACACCCCCCCACCCTCTCCCCACCCCCCGGCCCGGGAGTGGTGGCAGAGGAGGCCTCCGATGCGGAGGGGCATGGTCAGGTGGAAGCGCTGCTCTGGGGGTGAGTGGGGTGGGAGTGCCCCCAGAGTGTGCTTCTCCACAGTCAGCTTTATTCTCTGCTTCATATGCTCACTTGGATGTGACAACCCACACTGTTATCAGCAAAGTGAAAACCCACCTGTCTTTCCTCATTTTCTTAGCAGGAAGTTCTCATTATTCCACGTGAAAGACTTAACTACAGCCAAGTTTTGAGGACCAGGTCTTCCAGGTGCCAGCAGCAAGCTGCTCTGGTCCCCCTTTGAGGGCAGCACTGGCATTTCCTTCCTCCCCTCTCAGGAGTACGCTGAGAGCAGAGCTTTCTGAGGTCACTCTGCTGCTCATTCCCCATAACTGTTAGCGCTACCGATTAGCTACCTAATTTGCACCAGACTGAGAAGGCTGTGTTCAAAATCCACTAAGACTCTAGGGGCAACTACAAGAAAGTTAGAGAGGTAACAAGTATGCCTGTAATATTTGCTCTAGAGGCTTGATCAGATTCAGGTACAATTCTTTTGGAAAGAGTATCTCCAGAGGCTGCACCACATTTCCTATCATAGACACTCGGAGGCACTATGAGAATACAGACAAATCTAGAATGTGAGGAATACTACAGGGCAAATGACCAGTCTGCCCCTCAAAAAAATGGCACGACAAAAAAAGGAGGTGGTGGGGGAAAGGAACAATTACAGATTACAAGAGTCTTAAGAGACATATAAACTAAATGCAACGTGTGGAGCTTGTTTGGATCCTGATTTGTACATACGCAGTGGTAAAATGAACTTTTTTGAGCTATCTGGGGAATTAAAGTGATATGAATATTATTTTTGTTCACTGTCATCATGGTAAAGTGCTTAGTTTTTAAAAAACTACCTTTGGAGATACATGCTGGAAGATTTATAGTGAAATTATATGATGTCTGAGACTTACTTTAAAATACTAGAGAGAAAAAGGGGCGCCTGGGTGGCTCAGTTGACTGAGCATCCAGCTCTATGGGCTCAGGTCATGATCTCAAGGTTGTGAGACTGAGCCCCACATCAGGCTCTGCGCTCAGTGGGGGAGTCTGCTTGGGTCTCTCTCTCCCTCTCCCTCTGCTGCTCACCCCCCCGACCCTCATGCATGCACGTGCGTGCTCTCTCAAATAAATAAATACATCTTAAAAAAAAAAAAGTAAAATACTTGAGAGGAAAAGAAAAAGCAGGCCTGTGAGTGAGTGCTGAGTGGTCGGTGCTGGGAGGGGCAACAAGATGGGTAAAGCGCTGGTAACCTGACCTGGGGAGCGGTATAGGACGGGGTTCTCATTCTGGCTACTTGGCTTCCACAATAAAAACTTTTTAAATATTCTTCGTTTAGTAGTTTTAATCCTTTAGATCAATTTTCAAGCAATACTTAGTACTAATTCAAATTTTTACAATTATGGTTACATTCAAGCATTGCCTAACAAAAGGACTATACTGAGAAGCTCTGATCTCAGAGACAGCATCCCCTTCACATTGCTACTTCAGTTGTAACAATGATAACCTAAGTTATCTTAAAAATTGTAAAGAAGTAATTATAAAATTACACAATATAAAATCAAAATGATAGTGATAAATTGACAGTGATAAAGAGACAAAAATATAATAAACTCTCTCAGGAAGAATACAGATTACGTAATTCATTGGGATTCTTAACCATCAGGAACACTAAGAAACCAAACATAGTCCCAAAGGAGTCACCAAGTTCTTCTGGAGATATTTAAAAGACAGACTGATTGGATATAAGGAAATAAACTAAATTTTTGCCATGTTTCTTCCAAATAGATTATGATTCTATGATGTTGAACTTCCCACTATTGGGAAGAGACTTTGGAATTGCACTAGAAAAACAGGGGAAAGGTTGTCTCTGATGCAAACTCTAAAGGGACAGGCACATACAACACTTCACAGAGATGTTTATTTGCTCTCCTTATGAACTATATGCATGTGTGCACGCATGCACAAACAGCACAAACATCTGAGTGCTTACTATGTGCTAGGCTCTTTGTGTACAGAAGAAAACCAAACAGACTTAGCTTCTGCCCTCAGGAAGCCAGCGTTTAGTGAAGGGACAGGCAGAACAGCAGAGCAGACCGACTGTGCAGACTTGCTTCAGGTGAAGCAAGGAGGGGATGGCCTCTTTGATCTGAAGGGTAGGAAGGTGCTTACTATGCAGTCCTGGATGGGAGAATGTTCCAGATAAAGGGAGTAAAGGTGCAAGGGTCTTTAGGCAGGAAAACAAAGCTTAGCACATTTAAGGAATCAACAAGCCAGTGCGAGAAAAGTGAAACAAGACCATATTCGAGGCCTTGTGGGTTATGGTAAAGACTGTAGATTTTATTAGGAGTGTAACAGGAATCCACTGAAGAATTTTCAAGCAAAGAAGTTTGTTTAAAAAAAACAACACACTTTTGTTGCTGTATGAGGTAGATTAGAGAAAGAAATGGAGAGATCAAGTAGGCAAATGACTGGAGCTCAGTCCTATGGATGAAAGGAATATGGGATTAAGAGTTTTGATTAGCTCTCTAACGTGCCACTGGGCTGTGAGCTCCCTGTGGAAGGGGCTTGCATTTCTGAATTCCCCGTTGTCTGTTTAAGTTGAGAGATACCAGAGCATATCTGCATGCTGATGGAAGTACCCCGTAAAAAATTCTACAAGATAAAGATGCAGGAATGAGAGCTGATAAAGGGTTTGCTCATGCAGAGATTCATTTTGAGGAGAGAGGACATTTCCTCCATAGTAACAGGAGGAAAGGAGAGGAAAAGAACAGGCTTTGGTGAGCTAGGGCTAGAGGTCTGCGCATCTGTGACTCGTACTTTCTCAGTGAAGCCTGAGGCAAGGTCCTTAGCTGGAGGCGGGGTGTGCTGGCATGGTAGGCATGAGGGGTGAGGATAGGCGGAGGCAGGGGGAAGGAGGAGCTCACGGTGCCCCTGCACGAGTGCTAAACTCCCCAAGGACAAGAGAAGCTGACCTGACGAGGATGACTGGGAGGAAGGCGTAAACATCCATAGTGATTGAGCATCTTGACTTTTTACCAGAAAAAGCAAATTATTTTTATTACAGGTACATAGGTAAATGTACTACCATAGGTATTACAGTATCAGTAAGTTTTTGAAAAATATATTTTCGCTAGAATCGAGAGTTAGACAATACTGTGGCACTGCTGTGTAGGACCTGAGGATTGTTAACCTCCCCTCCCTGCCATCAGAGTGTGAGTCCCTGAGGGAGGGACACATATTCTGGAATCTCCTGAGCCACAGGAGGAGTTCAGGCATGCCTGTCTGTGAGCACGTGGCTGTGTGCACACATGCTCTCCCTGCACTCACTGAACGCTCGTCTGAGTCTAGTCCCACAGAGACGGTTCTAGAAAGAATGATTTTAGAGTGACCTGAAAAATTTCCTAATGCTTCTGGTGAAGACAGCTCAAAATTGACTCCAATCAGAAAAGTAATTTCAAGTAGAAATAAAAATAGTTACAAGAAACAGCAGCTCCAAGTCACTGGAAGAGACACAGATTTCTTTTAATTAATTAAAAGATCTTAACACTTACTTTATTAATTCTCGCCCTTCAGAACTGATAAAATACTCAACTAGCCACTGACAAGCATCAAAGCTTTTGGAGAGTAATGCTTCAATTGTGGCGATCCATTCTTCAGTATCGGCCCTTTGAAAAAGCAAAGACAGACACGTAAGGAGCCCCAGCAAATAGCCCTACGGAGTGTCACTGTCGTTTAACCTGTTTGGGGAGGTGAGGTAGAGGGTAAGCCAAACACCCAACGACCGCTGACCAACATGGCTCCATGCGCCCCAGAAGCCAGGGCTCTGCATTTTTTCTATTCCCCTGCCCCATCTCCGCCCCCACAATGTGAAGAAGCTTAAGTCTTAAGATTTTAACTTTCATCTTCTGTATCTTCTTCAAACAACTTCAATTGGGAAAAATGCCTGACTGTGGCATTTTGTTTTGCTTAATTAATTCACACATTCGTAAAATGCCCACTTTCAGAACAGGTTACTATGTCAACGTTTTTATATTTCATTGCTACAATCACTAATTTCCTACTTTATGGGATAAAAACATTTGGGTAGACAGAGAGGTATAATGACTATATACCCGTGACCTCCCATAACACCCCCTCCATTCTCTCATGCCCCAAAATGGTAAATATAAACAAGATGAAAGTCTGCAGTGCATAGATAGCTCAAGCAATTTTCACAATAAAAGTAACGACATTTCCTTAGTCCTATGCCAGACATTAAAAGAAAGGAACATATTATGTCTTCTTTTACAATCAAATAACAAAGACTGATTATCATTTAATGTATCTTTATTATACCTAATAATGAAGTTGCCACTCTTATTTGTTTTTTCTCAAGTGTCTCCTGACTGCAAAGATCTTTCCCCAAACCTCCCCACACCCGGAGAAGTTCCCTGTACTGCCCTGGTCTAACTGTCCCTGCCTTCCTCACCCCGAGTCTCTCCTTGCTCCGGGCACCTGCTCCAGCCAGTGTGCAACTACTCCTCACCCTTCACCCATCCACTCACACAGCAACTCTGTACCCAGAACCTACAATGTGTTGGACACCCTCCAGGAACCGAAGATAGAAACTGTTCAAAAACCCTCCACCATCTCCCCCTGAACACAGTCCCAACTCCCCTCTGTGGCAGTCAGGACACTCACTGGGTTCATCATCCAAACCCCACATCTGACCTCACTTTCAATGAGTTCCTTACACGTGTGAGGAAAACACTAGTCATTCACGGGTCTTTAGGCAAGTCCTGTCTGTTTCTCAGGTTTTCCCCTTTGACCTAGACTGTTCCCTCTGTTTCTCTGTTTTCACCTTTCAAAATCCTCTGATCAATGTCTTCAACACCTACCCAATCCTCACATCCATCTGGATATGATTTTGCCCAATTCCCAAAGATGTATAGCATTTACGCCTTGCTTTTTCTGCTTTATCTATCCTTCCTGTGAGATTAGAAATTCCTTCAAGATAGGAACCACGTCTTAATCACCTGAATGTATTAGATAGGTGCCTATGCTTTGAATTTATAAGTTCTATTTTAATTGAATTCATTGATATCTTTTGCCACAGCGATCAAAACATATCATTTCTCACCTGAGTTTTTTCTTTGTCCGTAGATAAGTTTGAAAAAGGAACTGAATAGCAAGCTGTAAGCTCACCTTTGCCATGCAAGGATAATATGGATGCTTTAATTTAGTCTGAGAGAGGGAAAAAAGAGAAGGTATTTTTCATTGATGTTTTAGAGATTATTAAATGTTATGAATTGAATAATGACACGTAATAAAGTTAAATATTATTAAGAAAAATCTAGCCAGCTTATTACAGAAAGCGTTCCATTTAAATTTTTAAAAAGGGTAAGAAAAGACATCTTCTTCATTTCTTTTATGAACCCCTCTCAAAATAGAGTCTTTAGACCATAGGATGGTTAAGTAACCTGTCAACAGACTAAGAAAGTTTTTCCCTTACTGGCAAATTGTAATCACGGTACTCAAGAAACAGAAGTACTTGGAAGTTCATCTTGAGTCTGGTAAAGTCTGATGACAAATTAGGACAAATTAATCTACACAAAGCGCAACATTCATTGACCTTACCTTGTGGCTATTCTCAGATTCTTTATAAAACTGAAAAGCACTTGAAAATGCCAATATGTTGAAACCCACGCCCATTTACAATCTGCAGGACACGTTCTGAGCACTGCCTATATTTTAATATCACCCAGGAAATGACACATTTGTGCAAACGTTCCGGGCATCTAATCTGAGTGCTAACAGCTGAGGGGGAGGATAAGTCACTGAACGCTTGAGCTGACAGTTAACTATGCTCCTTTCTTAGTCCTCTACTAACAAGCCAACTAGTACTTACAGCATTCAATGATGCTAAAGACAAAACAAAACTGAAATAATCACTACTGTACACATCTCTATTCTTCATAAACTTGAGGTTTTCATCTCTCACCATCTACAAAAGAAAATTAGTAATTATTTTTAAGAAACAGGGCAAAATATTCAGTATATGGAAGACATTTTTTGACGATACATTAGGTAAAAAAGGATTTTATATTAGGTTAGAAGGGTTCATCACAAGAACCCTTTTCTTGAGCTTTGATATTTTAAAAAAGGAGAGAGGAAAATCTTCCTTTCAAATATAAGAAGCTGAAAGAAGGTGAATTATTCTTCATCAAGCCAAACTCTTTTGGGAAATTTAGGAAAACCACCATGTGAAGGACAAGTGAATTCAAACCTGCTATTTTGGGTTGAGGGACAAACAGAGCTTTCCCAAGTACAACTAACTTGATGCTTTCCTTGTATTGGAGAGCTTAATTCTTTCTCTCTAAACAAAACACTCCATATTTTTCTTAAATTCTCTGGTTCTGGCTACTCAGCTTTTGATTATTTAGTGTTACAAAGCCTGGACTGGATAGTTGGACAGTTCTGAATTTAAATCCTAGCTCTGTGACACTGGCAGGTCACTTCTCCTTTTCTGAGCTCAGTTTTTCCATCTTAAAAAATGGGAGTAAAACCCGCTACTCCACAAGAGTGTTTTAAGAATTAAGGATTTATTTAAAGCACGTAGCACAGAGTAGATATTCAGTAACTGATGGTCATCACTGTGACATTAGTTTTACCCAAAGGTATGACCCTTATTTTCCCTCTGTAGACGTTAATTTCAGCAGTGTGTGTCTTTAGTGCCCCGCCCTCCCACTTGTCTATCTGTGGCACCCCCCGGTCACACAGCAGGCCGGTGATAGTGCCGGCCACCTCCAGTCTGTGGCCACCTCTGTGACCTGTGTAAGAGACTTGTGAGACAAGGTGGTTAGGCTGAGGCACTCGAGATCCAACCAAGTCCATGAGGAGGCCAGCGGGAATATTTCTGGACCTATGAGGTAGATTTTGATTTTTGTCTGAATTTTCTCCCTTAGAATTTTTTTATATGGTTCTTACCTGGTATATTCGAACAGGCATTTTCTCCACAAATAGTCCTTTCTTCTCGCCTTTTTTAACCAGCTTGGTTAGAATAGAGAGCCGGTCATTGTTAGGCCTGTGGGGCCGGGGAGAGGACTGAGGAGAAATCTCTGGTGAAGACGGCGCGGACCTAAGGACAGAATCAGAAAACTGGCTGGTATAAAGCTGACAGACTTACGGAACTAGACTTGACAATAAACTGCATCCTTTCCAGATCCAATATAGGAAAATGCAATTTCACAGACAACAGGACCTTAAAAAAAAAAACAACACTGACAGTGGCTGGCTGATTGCTACGCTTTGGACATAAAGTGTACTCAATAAACGCCGAGACTAGGAAAAATGGCAATTCTAGAATGAAAGAATTTATATGCATGTTTCTAAATACAAAATAACTTCTTGCTAAGGAAGTAATAAATGGGTGGCAATAAGAAAAGGGGTAGAGGGATTTACTTATTTTCTTTTTTGAATTTCTCTCTAGCTTGTTTAACGAATTACCTTTAAATGCCAAACAGTACACTCAAGATTACAATGACCACCTGCTGAAACGGCACAGTGAATTATGTAGAGGAGAAACTCACAGAGAGAGATCCTCAGCTTCCTGCCGGACGACGCTGACCCGACTTTTCTTTGGTAATACTGGGGAGTTTTGATCAGAGACCCTTTGGTAGAAGAGCATATAGGCATTCCAGTATCTTCGGCGTACGTCAGTATAGGGGTTCGCTTTATAACAAAACAGGAAGAAATCTTTGTAAATAAAAAGTTTTCTTGTCTTGACTATCTAAAATAAAGGACCTATAAATCCAGCAAGTACTTACAAAATTTAAATGCAAAGTGTAAGTAAAATGTGTGTCTTTTTACTAGTAATAACTGCTTAGAATCACTTGAAAGGTGATACAGAGGAACAGGAAGGAAGCTGTATGGTAATGGGGTAAAGACGGTAAATATTCTTAGGCAAGTCTAAATTTAATCAAAAGGCAAATAACATTTAAAAAATAAGTTCTGTGGCACAGGATGGGATTATAACTGGCCTCACTTAACCATTTCTGCATAGAACAGCCAAATCTAGGTAAATTTTGGCAATGATACTATCTTTAACCATTAAAGGTTATTATTATTAGACACAGGACTACCATGGTATGGCATTATTTAATACAGGTAGAATTTTTTTTAATTTTAATTTTTTTAAAAGATTTTATTTATTTGTCAGAGAGAGAGAGAGAGAGAGAGAGAACACAAGTAGGGGGACCTGCAGGCAGAGGGAGAAGGAGGCTCCCTGCTGAGCAAGGAAACTGATGCAGGACTTGATCCCAGGACCTTGGGATCAAGACCTGAAGCGAAGATAGATGCCTAACCTTAGAGCCACCCAGGCGTCCCTTTAATTTTAATTTTTAATTGAAGTATAGTTGACACATACTACTAGTTTCAGGTGTACAACACAGTGATTTGACAATTACATACATTATGAAATGTTCCCTATGATAAGTGTTGTTACCATCTGTTGCCATACAACCTTATTACAGTATTTTTGACCATATCCCCTATGCTTACTTTCCATCCTGAGTCTTATTTATTTTCTAACTAGAAGTCTTTACCTCTTAATTCCCTTCACCTATTTCTCCTGTTCCCCTCTGACCCGAACACAGAAATTTTTAAATGCCCCTAGAATACTACAAAATCAGTTTCAGAAATGCTAAGGTCTCTATAAAATGTCTTCCCCCCCCCCAATAGCAAATTCTCATTGGATTCTCTGATGTTCCTTTCCTCATACTCTTTCTTCTTGGGGTGGTGGCTGGGGAGGGAAAGGCTGTTTTGCCATACTGCATAATAAACATGGTTTTAAAACCCACATGTGAGAGATGTCTTCTCTAATTAATTGTGCCTCATGTAAGTGAAAAGGAAATTTGAGAATTTTAGTGGGCAACTACTTCTTCTGAAATGATTTTTAAGGATGAAATTCCATGTTCATTAGCTTCTCTCTGACATTCGTTTCTTCCTCTTAACTTACTCCATCACCTGTCCCCCTGAGGGCTGCTGCAAGAAATTAGTTTTAAAACATTTGTAAGCAACTCAAACATTTTCTCTCACGCTATCAAGGAGTCTGTGGATCTATATGGCTAGAACAGTGATATGTAAAAATAAAAAAATTACATTTTATGTAAAGAATACTACTTCCAATTTGATAGAAAACCGTAAGTTAAAAAAATAAAACTAATGGGAAATATCCATTTGTAAATACTTACTTTGATCATAAACTTTTGGTCTATATTCTCCTCCAAAGCATTCATACTCCAGGGTCTCATCATTTAGGTCAAATTCTTCTATGACTGTGTCGTTAAACTTGTACCACTTTCCTTTTCCACAGCCCCTGGAGCCCACAGAGGAACAAACGTTATAAAATTAAAACCTGACATTTCCCTCCCCAGCCTTTATCTCTATGCATTATCTACACATAGAGCAGATGATTACCATTTGAAAATACTCAAGAAAAAAACGAATTTCTAAAACAACTTTTCAAACTGAAGAGGTAAACAGTTACACTACATTTTAAAAATCCAACATGAAATATGACCAAACAGCAATGCAGAAGTTTCTTTGTACTACGCTCATAAACATGGATGATAAGAATAGGGCAGGGGGGGGCACAAGAGGGACAGAGGAGGGCAGGGGGAGTGGAGGAGGGACAGAGGAGGGCAGGGGGAATGGAGGAGAGATACAGGAGGGCAAGGGGGATGGAGGAGAGATACAGGAGGGCAAGGGGAATGGAGGAGAGATACAGGAGGGCAGGGGGAACGGAGGAGAGATGCAGGAGGGCAGAGGGAACGGAGAAGGGACAGAGGAGGGTAGGGGGAGTGAAGGAAAGACACAGGAGGGCAGGGGGAGTGGAGGAGGGACAGAGGAGGGCAGGGGGAGTGGAGGCAGGACTACTGGAAGGCAGGGGGAGGGAGTGGCATGAGAACGTCTTACCGCCTGTCCTTAATGAAGGAATAGTAGTGACCCGCGTGTGCCTGTCCACTGTGGACAATGACACCGACAAGTTCATAGTTTTCAGTGAGGGCAACTTTTTTCCGTGGGGATCCTCCACCTCCCTGGTCCATACTTCGCCCATTTTCACCAACTTCCGAAGACGAATCTTGGCGAGCCATTCCTGAAACTGTGTAAGGCTCCATGTTTAGCATCCAGGGAAACTAAAAGCAAAAAGACCACATTAGTGTTGATGCGTAACATAGACAGTGATACCCTATTAAGTAAGATTCAAGTAAGAGGGATGTTTTCCTAATTCTAGCTAGGCCCGCCTCATCACTATCGCCAGGATGACTTCTAGACAGGAGGGCTGTTCACAGATCTGCCTGTCTACCGGCAGCAGCTGCTTAAGACAAAGGGCTGTGTACACCTCCGAATGCAGACCACAGCCTTTCACGGTGGAGACAGAAGTTAGACATGTAAAAAGTAAACAGCAGAAAAGAAAGTGAAGTCATGGTGGTAAGATATTTCAGGGGGAAAAAAACAAGTTACCCTTATCTGTTCATCGTATTTAATGGAGCGTCCACTCTCCCAGTCAAATCCAAATCTCATTAGGTGAATTACCAAGACGCTAGGTAAAGACTTAATGCAGGTCCTTTTCACGGTTATTCTCTAAAGAAAAGCAAAACCCAATTATCTCCGTGGAGGAAATAAAACAGCAAAATCATACAAAGGTCAGAGATTTCCATGGGCCTCTCCTGCCCATGTAAAAACAGGTAACGACACAATTTAATGGGACAACAATAGGAACTTAATATTGCCCTTACATAAAACACAAACGAATAACAAATTAATCTTGTTTTCTAAAAAAAAAACAAATGTAATACCTTTTCTTTACACTTTTCACAGTAATATGCATTACTTCCCTCTAAAACTTCTCCTCTAACAAACTGGTCCAAAGAAATTTCCAAGCTCTGACAAGAAGTAACTCCAAGATTGAGAGCCATGAAAGCTTCCTCACGCTCATATCTGATTAGGAAATCACAGGAAAGACATAATCAAACAGTGGAATTTAAAGGTCTTGAAACTACCACAATACCAGAGACTATACACAGAACTACATTCATAATCAGTGAAATTAACCCATGCCGTCCCTCAGCCTTTTAAAAGTACATTGCCAAATAAAAATACCAGTTTTTGATAATCAGAAATTCCTTAAAATTATGAATTTCAGCAAAGAAATTTTAGAAATGGAAACCAGAGAAACTTAATTCAATAAACATTTATAGGTCCACTGAGAGAGAGATCTGCAAATCTCTCAACAATGCAAAATTTACGACATACTAGAAGCATCATTTAAAAAGGATGATGATCACATGCAGTACTACTGTGGCCAATTGGCAATTTCCATGTTTTCACCTTAATCCTGAAGCTTTTTCTACTGCAAAAATATTTCTTCCAAGTTTGATATCTGTATCAGGATAACCTGGAGAATACATACTTTTCTGTTTGAGGATTTATGACTTCTTATGGAAATCCACATATTTACGGATTAAACTTACAGTACTCTTAAAGCTCTGCCTTAAATACATGAGTGGGAAAGCTTCTGCTTGCATCATGATTTACGTAATACTAAGCACGGTGATGCTCATGAATCTGAATATTCTAGAACTTGGCTAAACTCAAATATATCAATAAATTGTTACAGTAACTTAAGAAATAAAAATACTATTAAAAAAAAGAATAGCTGAGATTTTTATATACTGTCACTTTAGTCAAGTAACATATGGATGAAAATTAACAAAGTACTACCAATTAAGAGGAAAAAAAACAAAAATGAAGATCATCAGTGTTGATGTCCGTGGTATCTTCACTAACCTGTGAGGACAGTCTTTACAGATCTTCTGATCAGAGTAGATGCCCTGGAAAGTATTCTTAAAAATCTGGTCTCTCCCCATTTTCTGTTGGAATAAAGGGTCAGACTTTTAGTTGATGCCCCTAGAAGTTACAGGTTGCTTATGTAGAATTTTATTTAGACCTAAGCTAAAGCGCAGATTTCAACTTAACAGCTAAAATACAGGGAGTCATGATGGTGGTTTAAGCTGGGATCGAATGGGACGATTAGAACCCACTGGCCCCACTGTTAGAACAGCCTGAGCTGTCGGCGAAGGAAGAGGAGAGGGGCCAGCCGCAGCTGGTGACAAGAACGGCACTCTCAGTGATGACTCCGAATCCTTCCCCCCGTGCCCGCAATGACCACCATGTTAGGAGCAACTCTCCACAATCTTTTCTTCTTTCTTGTGGATAAAATGCTACACATTCCTAAGTGATGTGAAAAAGGAAATGACTAACTTGGGCCTCCTGAGGAGACGAGGGGCAGATACTTCAGTGAGGGAGGTGCCCTGTAACTAGGAGGCAGTGCCATTCAGGAAGCCTGTCACACATCATGCTGGGTGGGGGCAGGAAGCTTTGGACCCACACATCCCCACAGACCCAACTTTGTGATCTGGCCCTGTGGCAGAGGCGGACTGCCAAGCACAGGCCGTCGGGTCCCTGGAGAGGGCAGCATGCCTGAGGCCAGACTACCTCGGTGCACCCACAGTGGTTACTCTGGAGCACAGGTTAAGAGCTCCATACTTCATCAAGTGTTGAATGAATCAAGAAAAGGAGAGGCCTAGTGTCTGTGTCTGTTTTGATGTTCAAATGCCACCAGAAGAAATGAATTACAGTTGTGGTATTAAAGATGACCACATTCTGATTGGTCGGTTTCATAGTAATCCCAATCCTGCCACACTGCTCTCGTATTACAGTTTGACGGAGTCAGAGGGAAAGCGACTTTTTTCCTACCTTGAGATATTCGTCCATCTGATCAATAAGACTAGTGAAGAATTCATATGCATCCTGCTGTTCTCTCACATAAAGTTCTTTGTTCCACATCTTGAAAATCTATGCAACAAGAATTAAAGCAAAGTTAGCAATTTCTAAATACAGTAGAACACAAATGTGAAAGAGCACTTAAATGCTTCTAAAAACCAAGTTCTATTAGGACAGCAGACATTTTTACTGAAGTGAGATGAGCGTCTGTTCAGCTATCTAGGCTTGTTCCTGGCCCCCCTGTGGTGTGTAATCATCACAAGTCTGTGAGACTATACAAGGCGGGATCTGAGGCCACGGAACTGAGTTTCTGTCTTAGAACTATCCAAACTATGGGGGAAAATACAAGATACCCCTTCTATGAAAAAGAGTAATGTTCCTTATTTAGAGCATTAGTGAAATTGGAATAATCTGAATACATATTCCGAAGAGCCAAAATAAGAATCATGAGAAATACTCAAAATCATTAAGATCAGTAGATCCCTAGAAATACTAGTCTCAATATTCTAATCATTTGAAATCAAACATCAACCTTAAGAAGAATGGTACAGCCCATTCTTCTGTAGGTTCTTGGCAATGGGATTACTCTAGAGTCCACAAAGACAGAAACAATTACCACTACATCCAAGCATCTAACATCTTGAAATCTAAAGAGTTAATGGGTGAAATACCTTCCAGAAATTCTCAGGTACATAATACTGCAGCTTGCTTTCCATCAGATGCCCAAAGAGAGACTGCACCTGGTAGAACACGCTGTCATCTGGATTGTCCGTGTCATCATCCACTGAAAGTAACGACTAAACAGAAACGAGGTGTCATGAGCTGGAAAGAGTTCACTGCTGCACAGGGAACGCGGACAGACGTATGTGTACTGCCTACACTGCTTTTACAATGCTATGTACGTGTGGATGTGGCTACAGCTCTGAGTAGATGTTTAGCTTCAGTTCTTCCTAGCGGGTGGGATCATGAACAAGTCATTTCTTTGAGGCTCTGTTTGATTATAAAAACTGGAGCCAGCGAAAGCAGTATCGCTATGACAGATAAACGTGGCATGATACACAGAGAATATTCTCAAAACCACTGACTGCTATATCACAAGCTTCTAGTTAATAGGCTGACCCGTGAACATGGGTTTGAACCACACAGGTCCACTTACACATGGATTTTTTTGGATACAGAACAGTACTGTAAATGTATTTTCTAGCTTATTTTATCTTAAGAGTAGAGTATATAATACATATAACACACAAAATATGAGTTAATTGTTCAGTCAACAGTAGACTGTTAAGTCAGTAGTTAAGTTTTGGGGGAGTCAAAAGTTACATGCAAATTTTTGATCGCACTGGGGGAGCTGGGGGTAAGCGCTCCTAACTCCTGTGCTGTTCAAGGGTAAACTGAACTATTATAAAGCACTGATGAAAGACCTGAAATTTTTCTAAAATACAAAAAACATTAGTAATTTTATGGAATAGAATTTGAGAGTAACTTCGTTCAAATCCCACTTGGTCAAGTCTCTCTGTCAAATAGGCAGTATATTCCTTCAGCAGATTTATAAAAACATCACCACGAATATGCTGTCTCACATATTTCAGAAGCTACTAAAAAATCCCTAGTTATGTCTAGTTTTAGTAAAACCTAAATGCAATATATGAATCTGGGACAATTTTCAGGCCGGGTACACGTTCTCTCTCACACCAAACAGGAAAGAAGAAGGAAATCACCTCAGGGAGCCCAGGTTGCATATACAGCTGCTGGAAGACTGCATTCATGTAACATGTAGCGCCGCCATTCCTCAGCCCCACAAACCCTGAACTGGACCTGCTATCCACAGGTGGAAGGTACTAGAAAAGAGAGGAGTAGAAACAGTAGAGAGAGAATTAGTGTATCTGCCACCAGCACATTTCCACCATGGCTGTCTGAGATGTCTGAGAGGAAAAAGAGATAAACTCATAGATTTATCCATCCAGTGGGTGAGGAGTCAGGCTAACAAAACCTACGTTCTTGAAGTACCCCTGCAGATGCTAATACAAACAAAAAATACTACTATCTCAATGTTCCTTTTCCATTCATAAGCTACCTAACACATTGTGTTTGTTTATCCATTTGGTAGTAATGCATTCCGTCACTTGATTATCATTCAACAAATATTTACGAAGAAGCTACTTATGTGCCAGGCACTGTGCGAGGGATACAAGAGATATATGTGGTCCCTTATCCTAAGTTGCTCACAATCTAGTAGAGTACACAGACATCAATCAAGTAAATATATGTACTTACAAACTGAAGTAGTACTCCGCAAGAAAGAAATAGAGTTCTATGAAGTATTTACTATGAAGAATCCTGACCAGTCTGGATGGTCAAGAAGGTTCATATTCCTTCCCTTCCTTTTTAAAGAAGTAACATTCTTCTATCAAATAACTTCTAATAAGCATACAATTAAATAAATACTCTTGCATTGCACGTAAGGATTTTTTTTTTTTTTTAAGATTTTATTTATTTATTTGAGACAGAGAGAATGAGAGACAAGAGAGCATGAGAGGGAGGGTCAGAGGGAGAAGCAGACTCCCCGCCGAGCAGGGAGCCCGATGCAGGACTCGATCCGGGGACTCCAGGATCATGACCTGAGCCGAAGGCAGTTGCTTAACCAACTGAGCCACCCAGGCGCCCCGCCCCCTTTAAAGATGTTTTGTACTAACACAGATCCTGTTACAATGCTTTTCTGGTTAGAAGTAATCTAGAAAAGGCATCTTGGATAAAGTTGAACATGACACTTCTCCAAGTGGAAAAGGATATTGAAAGGACACACTCTGAAATGCTATTTCAGCAGAATCTTGGTTCTAAGGCCATGCCCAGAATCACCTAATCTGCATAAATCAAGTACCTGCATCCATGTAAAAACCAACTGACAAAAGCTTATAGATCTTTTGCACCTCAAGGAATTGCTAAATATGACATACTTTCCACTAACATTTGACATACATGTAGAGCATGGTGATTTCTAAGATCTGATCAACACTGTGATTTATTTGTAGCCTAAAGCACAGATTTTTAAAAAGTTACAAAATAAGAAAAACTAGTTCACAGTAGTGCTAAAAAATAAGTACTTATATGAGGCAAATACTTTTTTCATTATGCTGATACAATCCCTGACTTAAGAAAAAAATAAAATTTCCACTTAAATCTATTAAATAGGGCGCCTGGGTGGCTCAGTTGGTTAAGCATCTGCCTTCGGCTCAGGTCATGATCCTGGTGTCTCAGGATCGAGTCCTGCATTGGGCTCCCTGCTCAGCGGGGAGTCTGCTTCTCCCTCTGGCCCTCCCCCTACTCATGCTCTCTCTCTCACTCTCTCTCATTCTCTCTCAAATAAATAAAATCTTTAAAAAAATAAATCTATTAAATAAATAATGTAAAACTAAAGCATATGTTATAAACTAAACATTTTGATACCAAAACAGTTTCCAATTTACACACTCACATTTCATTTTGCAAGTGCTATTTTCTCTATCTGGCACCCCCTTCCTTTCCTGCCTAACCCGTATGCTACATAGTACTCAGCTCAGGTGTCCAAAGGGATAAGCCTGACTCTGCAATGTTCGTGGAGAACGTGATGGCAGCTCTAAAAGCGTCCTCCCACTCCTCCTCGTCTGGTACTCCAGTGCGCCTGCAACGTGTTTCCCTCCTGCAGATCTCAGTGAATACTAAACTGTTGCATGGTTCCAGAGCCTTGTCCCATATCCTTCTCATTGCTGGAATGACCTTCCCACCTTGCTTCAATTGGCTTGTGAGACATTAGGCTCTATTTTTTTTTTTTTTTTAAGATTTATTTATTTATTTTAGAGAGAAGAGCATGAGCGGGAGAGGGAGGGAGAGAGATGGGGGGGGAGAAACAGACTCCTCGCTGAGTGGGAAGCCTGAAGGTGGGGCTCAATCTCATGACCTTATAATCAAAACCTGAGCCAAAATCAAGAGCTGGGTGCTTAATTAACCGACTGAACCACCCAGGCGCCCCGAGCTCTATTTTCAATTCCATCTTTTCTAAGACGCCTTCTAAGATAGCATCTGGTGGTGAAGTGCCCCTCTGTTGGCTGAGCATTCAGGACATGACCTGTATCTTATACGTTATCACATTATATTGAAATTATCTGCCTATGGGTCTGTCTCCTCCGTTATACACTGCCTTTCTTGAGGGCTGGAATCCTATATTCATTTGTGAGTTCCAAAAGCCTAACACACCTATTAGTGCCTAGTAAACTCAATAATCTTAGCTGACTGTAACTGAATGTAGACCGTACTGTGACAGAGCCAGCATCTGAACCAGTATCTCCAGGGCCCGGTGCTGTACCGCCCACAGCTACTCAACACATGGGCTGAAATGCTACTTCTTACTGAGAGTGATTATCACCTGACTTGAACATGTCTCCTCCTTAATTAATAAAAAGGGTATCACTGAGTAATATACTATTACAATGGTAATAAAGTAACTTTGTAGTTTATAGGTGATTACAGTATGTGAACACAATAAGCAAACGAATAATACTGACTTTCTTTGTGATTAGGATAAGGCAAACACAGGCTTTAAAACTGTATGTTTAACTGACCATTCCAAAAAAACTACATGTGTAAAGGTCTAGAAAACTTACATCAAACTCCTTGGTGAGAGCAGGGTCGGGTTGATGATGCATAGAAAGCAGTTCTTTCGTGATAATTTGCAGATTTGAAGGTGAGCTATCAGCCAACATCACCAGGACTTCATAGGCTGCCAATCGGCTATTCACTGTACTACACCTAAAAACAAAAGATGCAAGTCAATTCCAACAGTGAATAATCTACTTAAATTGCTCATTAAACTAAATCAACATTTGAAATGAAAATATTAGAGCTGCAGTTCCTCAAACAGGGTTAATCAGGTCTGATGGCAGAGCTCTAGGAATCCTGGGGGAAGTGTTTACTTAAAGGAAGATGCCATGAATACACGAAGGATGATTAAGGTTGAGAGCTAAATATCTTCTTGGCCTGATAAAGGAGCAAAATCTCTTACTTAGGACTGTAGAGTACTTTTATCTAAGGTTTGGATCAGCAAAAATGGAGAACAAAGAGTCTGAAAATTTTACCAAAGACAATATGAGAATAACTAGCTCTCAAAGTTGGTAGCAAGAAAGATTTTTGTAGGTCTCACCCTGAAATTCAAACATCTAAATGGCAGAAAAAGAAAGCTATACCAATCAGAATAAATGCCCATAAGTGTTTTATATGTGCCTGGAGATAAAAAAAACTTCATGGACAGGAATCAGCTTCATTTTGCTAAGAAAATGGAGACAGAAATATGTGGTATGCTAAAGTAATTAGTTTAAAATGACGATAAAAGGTAACTAGCAAGCATTTTGCAGGAAACTAAAGGCTTCTGATATTGCTCACCTTTAGCAGAGATCATTTTGGGGATGGACAGTAATTTCTCACTGTCATCTATACCAACCTTGCATTACCGAGAAGATCACAAGTTAGGAAGGATACACAGAAAAGAGGACATCCAACTTCTGAGAGAAACATGTATGGAGTACAGTGTGGGAGATGTGCTCATGGGGTGGGAATGGGGGCTGTGGGCCTGGCTCTTAGATCAGCACTGCGCCACGCCCTGAGGACAATGGCCAGGAGCTGGCACTGACCTTTGCTCTTATTTGGACTTCTGGATTGCAAAGGACAGGTAAAGAAGGAATGGGAGGTGCCATACACACAGGGTAAACATGAAGAAGTTCTTTCGTTAGTGTTAATAAGAATAAGCATTACTTGTGAAAATACTTCTGTGTATTGTAAATCTCTTTCTGGCTTTAGGGTTTAGGTAGGAAAGGGCTGGGAGCCACTGTGATAAATGAACATCACTCAAAAACAAAATGCCGCCTTTTCTAATTAAGGCACAGTGTATGATTTAAAAACCCAACTCCTTGCTGATGGAGGTATTACTTTTAATAAATAAAAGGAAAAGGATTCATGAATAAAAATTTCAGTAAAACTACTGAAGAACCACTGAACTCTACCTCTGAAACTAATAATACTCTGTATGTTAATTAATTGAACTTAAATTAAAAAAAAAGAAAAATAAATGAAAACCAAAGAAACATAAAAAAAAAAAACTACTGATGATTTATTTTCTCCATTCACTGAAAACTGAAATACTCCTGAATTTCTACTGCTTTAATAAAAGATTCCCATTGAGCTAGCACCAGATCTTTCAGAACAAGACTGGGGCACAGGTGAGGATGGGAGTCACAGCCTGAGAGACACCCCAAGAGTTCTAATGAAGGTTTATTACCTGAAACAGACTTTGCTAATAAGAAAGCTCTACAGAGAGAAATACTCACACGATAAGATATAGCTTAAGATTCCATGAAATACTGCTTATTATGCCTTGCCCATTCCAATAACCACTAAAATTATATGGGAATGTTTTTCACTGGTTAAATACCAAACCCCAGTTCCTTTGAGATTATTCAATTAACTCTGGTTTTCCTAAGAACAAAGTAAGGTGGATTCAGAGCAAGTAAAGATGGCAGCATGAAGCAGCCTCCTCTATCTCCAGGAGCACCCAAGTAGGGTCAACATTACAAAAAGATCTTTCAAATTTCTACCCATAAAAATGAATACAATATTTGACTCTAAAATTACCACCATAATAAGTAACTAGCAGTTTTAATTATCAGGACACAGGTGATATACAGCAAATCACACAGTTCATGCACTAAAGCACCTACCCTTTCCTCCTAGAAGAAATTCTTGAGATTCTGAGCCTATTTACTTTTACCTTGGATGTAATTCTTACCACCTCAGTTTCTCTTGGAATTTGCTACCAAGTTAACCACATAATTTATTACTGATTCTTCCAATTTGATGATAAGAATGATTCCAACATACTTGCTCAGCACTTACCATGTGCCAGGCAGGCTTTATCCTAAGCCCCTTTACATGCATTTCTTTATATAGTGGATAATATAACTACACACACTCACGAGATGGACGACAAACTCCAAGTTAAGAAAATCTTTCTGGACTAAAGTTTCGAATTAGAATTTTTACCAAAACTGAACACAACGTGCATTTTCCATACTTTGGATGAAAGTCCTGTTGACTGATGGCGGCACTGCCAGCTGGAGAATGACTATTTAAAATAATTCTAGAAGCTCGGAAAAGGAAGTCATCTAACAATGGTTTAATGAGTGATGAACCTGGAACAGAGCATAATATTCAGGTTGAGGAGGAACACATTTTAATTCAAAGATCCTGCTTTTGTACGTTCATATCAGAGCAACAGAAGCACCCAAGGCCACCCGATGGCAGGGCATTCAATTTAATTTGATGCTTATTTTGTGAGCGCTTATGTAACACACGGCAAAGCTCTGTGGGGCAGAGGGGTGGGGACGGGTGGGAGGGTCAGGGGACAGGGAACAAAGAGAGACAAGCAAGGGTACCTTCCTCTATGAGCTGACAGCGGAGTGAAAGAGGCCATGCTTTCACTTTAGAAACACAAATGCCAAGAACACCGCAAGGCAGAACGGTCTGAGTGAATAGTTTCTTCTTACTCTGGGCGCGGTGGTCGGTGGGGGTTGGGGGGTGGGGTGGGGACACAGAAGGGTTTCTGAAACTTCTAAAATCTCGCCTTCTTTGGGTAAAATGATGTGCCCTTTTCACCCTGGTTTAGAATCACTCTTTTCTATGTATCCCCAGTAGCCAAGAAGATTTTTATAGAGCTTAGTTTGTGTGATAAAGGTGGTAATTAATGTTTTGATTTATTTTCTGAATATAATTTATAATACTGAATATGCCCTTACAAATTCTATGTGTACCTCAGGACACTCATATGTACCCCACTATGCAGGGGATGGTGGTTGGGGGCTGCCTCCTAGATGAGAATTACCCTTACAAGAAGTGAGACATACAACAGATATTTTATATAGTACAAAACAGCAAAAGGAGAAAACGCTACTTGGAATTTTTACTTGATGTTACGAAGTTACGTGATCCGTTCTGAATGCTATAAAACTGTCTACATGGTTTAATGATGCAGGTAAAACAAACCTTGAGTTTGTCAGCCACTAAAATTCCAGATAATCTCGTATTACCTGAAGGGTCAATTTTCTATGGAACACTGAGCAACTATCCTATTTTCCTAATTACACACAATACCATGGCAATAACTAAGAAGTGAGGTATTCTATCATGTGATAAGATGAAGCAATAATTACCAAGCATTTCCTTTTCTGCCCCGCAGAGTGAAAGAAGGGTCTTAATGAGCCGTAAGTGTCCTGCCAATAAGATGTTGTCTGCTTCACTGGTCTCACATTCAGCGGTGCGATTAGGTTCAAAGTTATCCAGCCAAGTAATCTCATCTTCAAGCATAGTTGCTGGGCTGATTCTTAACTGCTCCATTTCTGAAGCTAAGAAGGAAAAAAGAAATCCATTTCGAAGAAAGAAGGACTTCCTTCCATGGAGTCCAAATCCTGAATTACAGTAGGCAAAGTCCACTCCCAACTTTCCATTTCGCTGACCTGAGAAAGCGGTCTCTAACAAACAGGGGGCCTGAGCTGCTGCCCCAAGGACTGTGACAGCGCATGCGCACTCACTTCTTCCCCACCCACTCTCTGTCCTAAACCAAACGTGTAGTGAGGGCCCCTCTGTGCAGGTCAGGGAGGGGACAATCTTGTTCCGAAGAAGCTCCTGGTCGGGGAGGGGGTATCAGCAGGTGTCCTTCAGAAGAGGCAAGGACGAAGGTACGAGGAGAGTCAAGGCTCCCGCAGTGTCACCTAGGCCAAGAGAGTCCTGCAAAGGAGGAGGAGGTCCACAGCACAGTGTTTCCAGACAGTGTGCCAAACCCCGGAGAACCACTCTGCTCTGCTGTAGTAAGTTCTCTTGCTTTCCTCTAAACAAGGAGTAAAGCAAGATTCTGTCCCGAAGATGAGACTGGGGAGGAGAGGAAGAGTGCCCGTGCTCTCCTTCCACGGCACTACAGCCACGAGCAGTAAGGTCCCACAGGATGAGGTGAACAGGGATACCTCAGGGTCAGTTGGAGTGGGACCAGCACTGGGCACTGTGGGTCGTCGGCTAACACCTACGCTGCAGGGTGCAGGGTATGAAGCCTAGCATAGGTACTGGCATAGACAAAATACTCTCCAAATGGCAAATACTGCTTGTCTCAAGACAGTCCCACCCTGCGCTCAACATCCCAACAAGGGACCCTGGATCCCTCGTTATTCAGTGACACAGGGAAGGCCTACATGAAAAGCTCGTTCATGACTTCTGAAGTTGTATGTGTCAGCCAACTCATGGTTCCCGTCCTCGAGCAGCAAAGCAGAGCACGCTCTCCAAGTCCAAGCCAGAGAGCAAACCTTGCTGGCTACTGCCCAGCCTTCACCAGAAGCCTGGCTGAAAAACGTGCACGCAAAAAGATCTGTTTCTTTTGAGAAATCATTCAGTTTTCTTCTAGGGTATTGGAAACAGCCAACATACGCTGTTTCCTGTTTACCTCTGTCTGCCAGCAACCTCCCGACCAAATTCTGACTGTGTGGAGCTTTACAGCCCGCATACAGGCAAGGTATTTCTGTTTGACCTCCTGGCCTTGACATTCTTTTCCAATCAGTATTTCCAATGAATACTTTGTCCATCCTGATTTTTATTTACTTCATGGATATTTCCTGGAAGCTGAAGCGAATCTTTTTACGTAGAGAGTGGGGAATAAACTAACAAGCTCTTGATGTGAACAACTAAAATTTACACAGAGTATCCCAACATACCTTTGCATTATATATGAGTAAGTACAGATGATCAAAATCTAAATGCTCTAACACTAAAATTTCTAACAATATTTCAATCACCTAACACTAAATAATTAATTGACTTCTATTATTATCAACATAACTCAACAGTGATTCCCTCTTTCCTTCAATGATTGACCTTTAAAATGGTCAGAATTCACTATACTAGAGAGAAAGATTCTTCCTAATAGTTCTGTATCAGTGTATTAAAATGTGCCTTTGACAATTTTTAAAATCAACAAATCTTCTCAACACATTAATGGTTGGGTATATGCTAGGAGAAGGGAGAACTGGTATATGGGTTTATGTGCAATTTTCAAGAAAATAAAATTCAATTTCAAACAGTAATTATAATCTCATTTATATCGAAGATACATTAAATCAGATTTAGAAATGTCCATTTGGCTTTCTTTTCTACTCTTCCCTCTCCCCTCCCCCCACACGAATCAAAGTTAGACATTTACTTACTTGTCAGATCATCTAATAATTGGCACCTTAGATCAAAATACTCCATACACTGAGATAATAGTCTAAAAAACAGATAAGATTTCAAGTATTAAAAAAGGCTGATTTTAAAATAAAAAACATTTTCCTTGTAAGAACAGGTTCATAAAACAGTTGAACAATGGAATTTTCCTAAGCATAAAAGAACTACTTAATTTATATTAATTCACCTTCACAGTATCTTAGCAACAAGCACACTAATGATTCTGCTAATACAGATACACTATAGAAGTAACAGCGTAAAGAGAGGAAACTTACTAAATCTCCCATTTTGTAATGATGTACAGGCTGACTGCATACATCATGCACGAGATTACACTCATTCATTCAAATATCAACCGATATTCACTAAGCACCTACTATATGCTTGGAACTATTCTAGAGGAACAGCTGACAAAAGAGACAGACAACAAATTAAAAAAATACATATGTTAACTGGTGATACTAAGAAGAAAAATAAAGTGGAGTAAGAGAAGAGAAAGGTAAATTCTTTTACCTAGGATGATCAGTGAAGCTTTTCTGCAATTATAGTAGTGAAGAGCACAAGCTTTAAAGTCAAGCGACTTTGGTTTTATTCCTGGTTCCACCACTTACAATTGGGTGTCTAGGGCCAATTTCTTTGGTTTCTAATTTCTAAAATGCTTGTTAAGAGTGTTAGAAATAAACACACATGCATACACATGCACATCCATAAAAGGCTCAAGAATATACTAATAAGAAGAACAGATAATGAAAAAAGAAAAAGGATAATGAACCAAGAATTATGATTATTAAGGAGATAATTAAACCGTCAAACTCATTTGTCCTTTGTGAGGATTAAATGATAAATATATGCAACGAATTTAGCATGCTATATGGCAAAGAATCAGACCACAGTAATGCTAGTATTGTCATTACTAGTATGGAACAATTTTCAAATTACAAAAACACATTAACTAAAGATTTAATTTTATGTGAAGTTAAATGTTCTACACCCAAGAGATTCTTTGAGAATGTTAAAAACTCATCCAATGCTTTCTTTCCTGAGTTTCGAGAAATTTAATATCAAATCAAACTCTTAACATTTAGTTATATTAGATAATTTGAGTCTTACAAAAAGTATTAAGTGCAATATCTTACTTCTTAAAAAATGCTCACATAAAAGTACAATTATCTCTGTGCAGATGACGTGATCCTGTATATGGAAAACCCCAGAGTCCACACAAAATAATTTAGAACTCATCAGCAAATACAGCAAAGTTGCAAGATACAAAACTGAGACACGAAAATCAGTTTTGCTCCCATACACTTAAAAACAATATGAAAAAGTAAGAAAACAATTCCATTTACAATAGCATCAATAAGAGTAAAGTACTTGGGCATCCACTTAATGAAGGAAACAAAAGACTCAAGACTTGTGTAGTGAGAAGGACAAACAACGCTGAAAGAATCCTAAAATACCACAACTAGAGCAACAAAGCCGTGTGGTGCTGGTGTGAAGACACACAGATCGATGGAACAGAATGAAGAGCCAATCAATCAATCAATCAATCAGCAAGCAAGCAAAAGATTTTTCGTCAGAGCTGTCAAAACCCTTCAAAGGTGAAAAAGGTGCTGGGACAACTGGATTACCCACATGGAAAAGAATGATGCTGGACCCTTACTTCCGTGAGTCACACATAAAACTTAACTCGAATGGATCAAACACATAAATCTAAGAGTGAAAACTATAAAAACCTTAGAAGAAAATATAGGGGGAAAACTTCATGACATTGGATTTGGCAATGATTTCTTAAGATATGAAGCCAAGAGCACGGGCAACTAAAGAAAGAACAGAAAAGGAAGTATTTCTCCGTCTTAATTAGAAATGAAAAACACGACATGGATGAACCTGGAAAGAGCAGAATGGGGGGATGGAGAAGGAATAGGGAGCTACTGTTTAGTGGGTACAGGGTTTCAGTCTGAGATGAAAAAATTCTGGGAATGGGTAGTGGGGATAGTCGCCCAACAATGTGTATTGGGTATGTACTTAATGTCACTGGTCTCTACACCTAAAAATGAGTAAAATGATAGATTTTATGTACATTTTGCTGCAGTAGAAAGGAAATTCTAGCAAATCTAAAAATTAAAAAACCCCCTACATTTATTTTTGAACTGTCTCTTCATGTTCTTGCCCATTTTTCAATTTGGTTGTTGGTTCATTTGTTAGTGATTTCTAACAGCTTCTTATATATATTATCAAAATGAGTTTCTTGCCTGTCTTATGTTACAAATCTATTCGGCCAGTTTGTGAACTGACTTTTGACTTTATGGTATTTTTTTTCCACACAGAGGATTTTAATTTTTATGGAGTTGAATTTATCTTTTATTTCACAACTTAATGGATCCAGAGTTTCAGTTTAGGATGATGAGAAAGTCCTGGAGGTGGATGGCGGACATGGTTGCACAATAATGAGAATATACTTAATGCCCCTGAACTTATGCTTAAATGCTTATATATGCTTAAACAGACCAAGTTTGGATACAAACTTAGGGGTTTGGATACTTATCCAAACGTAGGGGGTTGGAGTAGCTCTAACATTTCTTCCCTTTCAGAGCTCTAATTTGTAAAGCATACACACAAGGAAAGTAGATACTGATTTCACACATCTTGGTGGTACCTTATAAGCCCTTTGGCCAAGGGTTCCCTGGTAAAGCTAAGTTGGAGAAAGTGGAGGTTGGTGTGGGATCTCCTCCCTCCCATCCTGGACCTAACCGGGGCAGCCTTGCATACAGGCTAGCCCACAGGGATACGGCAGGGTGGGCAGAATGAACTTACCCAAACCATTCCATCAGCCTGGCCCACAGCTTCCCTCCATGCCCAGAGACGTGTAAAACCAAGGGAGAAAGCTAGAAGGACACCCCAGCTATATCTAGATATGAGTCAGAAAGTATGCTGATCTGAGAGAGTGACAAATGCAAGGACATGAACAGTATGATCCTCATAAAGTGATGGGGCTCCCATTAATTTCAGCCTCTCACCACCCAGGTGAGCTCCTCTTTCTCTTGGGGGTGGTGGACCAGGTCAGGTGGAGGTGGGAGTTCGAAGTGATTCAAGGGTAAGAAAGCCTGGTAGTGTTTCCTCTAACCCTCCTGTCCTTAATGGGGATATAAGAACTGCAAAACCCTCTTTCAGGACACAGATGTTACAGGAGGAAAGGAGAAATTCTTCGGTCATCTCAGTAATGCACCATGGACTTCAGGGGAGCAGCACGCAAATCATTATTCTCTTTTGGTATAATGTGACCTTTAATCTTGATTCCGTACCTCTGATTGACTCCTCTCATAATACTAGTTGGGGACCAGAGAGGTAGCTGAGCCGTGAGAATCACACCTAGGAGAAACTGGTTTGGCTTCTGTACATCTGGGTGAGCTGAAGTATCTGTCTGACTAAGAGTGTACAGCTGATCACAGGCAGCACGGCGAATCTGAAATTACATCATTAGTGGCGAAGGACATACATCAACCAACACTTAGAGACTGCTTACAAAGTAATTTTCCTCTGAAGTTCACGCTCTGAGGGATGCTATAAGGGTGTGAATGTTTTCATCACTAATGGTAACGTTTACACTGAATAAACTAGGGCTGATTAAAAACAAGCGTGGTCAGAGAACTGATCCTCAAATTATTCTATTCTACTCAAAAGTTTTATAATTTAATATAACTGAAAATAAGAAAAAACTCTTCAAGTATTTCAAAGTTAATTTTCAAGGTCATATAAGAAAAATCAGAATTATAAAATCTAGTGGGAGTTCATGACTTAAAGTTGGTCTTTTCTGACTTTGACCAACATGTTGACACTGAACGTCAGCTGCAGGTGCTCAACACCAGCTGTAACGTTCTGTTTGTTGTAAACAAACACAAAGTAGTCTTAGCACTAATCTCTGAACTTTTGGTGGAATACGGAATAGAAAGGAGGGCAGAGCGTCCAAATGGTCACTTGGTCACTTTGCTTTCAGAGCCCTTTGTAGGAGTCCCAAGAGGACTAGACGCCATGCCTTCTGTCCTGCACGCAGTGTCACAGGTATGCAGAGGGCCGTGGACAAAGAGGACCGAGGGGATGTTTTATGTAATGTAAAAAATCCTTACCTCAGCACTTGGCGATCCAAGCAGAATATCAATGATAAAATCAGCAACACAGGGCAAGTTATAGAAAGATGCTAATGATAAAAATAAGGAGAATTGGGGGCGGGGGGGGGGGCCAAGTTAGGAAATGCATTTTCAGAATTTTCAAAAATTCTGAATACTTTCTTAAGCTTAACTATAGCAGAAATTCATCTCTTTTTCTACCTGAAATTGAATTCAGTACTTTCTACAACTGCCTCCACATCTCTGAGTTTCCCCCACGAGAATCTAAGGTGCCCAGGCGCAGGACCATGTCTTGGTCACCCCCGTGCCTCCACATTTTAGCACAGTGCCTTGTACACACCAGTTATAGAACAGTATGTCTTGCCTTGATAAACTATCAATACTCTACAACAAAGTACAAATGATAAAAAAGCTTGAAGGGAAGTTGACTTGAAAATATCTCTAAAATTAAACAATTACAGGAAAATTAAACTATGAGTATGGCATCTGTTCAAGAGCATTTTGTAATGACTCGTACTTCTTATATATGTCTTCAAAAGCATTCTTGCTCAAAGCAAATAATCTTGGACACTACATTACTGTTCTACAAATGTCCAACTTTTTCTAGATTTACTTTATCTTATGAGTTTGGATATTATACGAAACACGTAACAGTCATCAATCTTATGTAACAGGTGGTCTGAATCAGTGATAACACGTAAGGGTCATCAATCTTATGTAACAGGTGGTCTGAATCAGTGATAACAGGGAAGAACAGGGCTTCGATGCATTGGTACAATTTTTAGAAGTGGAACTGTTAAGACTTCATTCCTGCATAAATATTTATTGAGGGCCTACTACACACGCAGTATCTGGGTGTGAGAGATTCAGTAGGGAACAAAATGGACAAAAGTCTCTGTCTTTATGGAGCTTACAATCTAGGTGGGGAGGGATGATGACAATAAATATGGTAAGTAAATAAACTATACACTATGCTATATGATAGTAAGTGATAGAGAAGAAACGAGGTAAGGGGTTTAGGTAGTGCTGGGAAGATGGGAGGGTTGTGGTCAGAGAATGTCTAAGAGATGAGATTAAGCACACCTGTATGAAATGAGGCAGAGAGGGCCATGTGGGAAAGATGGGGAAGAACATACCAGGAAGAGGGAACAGCCAGTGCAAGGGCCCTGAGGCAGGAATGTGCCTGGAGTGTTGGGGAACAGCCAGGGAGGCCAAAGCATAGCGAGGGAGGGGGAGAGCAGGAGAAGGTGAAGACACAGAGGCGTCAAAGGGGTGGACTCTGTATGGCCTTAGTAAAGATTTGGCTTTTACTCAGTGGCAACTGAGAAGCTGCTGCCGGGTTTTAAACAGAGGAGTGCTACAACCTGACTGACATTTCAGAAGGTCCACTTCTGGTTACTGTGTGGAGAATAAATTGCAAGGATAGAAGCAGGGAGATCCGTCAGGGCGCTGCTGCTATAATCCAAGCGAGGGATGATGCCAGAGCAGAGGGGGGTAACAGTGGTGGTACTAGAGGGCAGAATCTGACATGGTTGGAAGGAGAATGTGCTGACAGAAGGGGGTGTGAGAAAGGAATCAAGGAGGACTCAAGGATTTTGGCCAGAGCAACTGAAAGAATGAAACCGCTATTACTTAAGCTGAGAAAACTGCGTGATTCAGTCCAGCTAAGGAGCTCGGCTGTGGACCCGTCAAGCCTGGGAAGACTACCTGAGAGCCAAGTGGAGAGGTCAGGGCAGTGGTCTAGGCTGTAGTTTCACATTCAGACACTAAGGGGAATCTGGGGCTGTGATGGTGGATGAGATCACCGGGAGAAGGGCTGGGCCCTGGGGGGGTTCTAATGTTAACGTGTGATTAATAACAGCCCCAGTTTGCCAAAGCCCACAAATGAGGACAAGTCTGAAGTTTCGTAACTTTGAATGCTAGAGTCATCATCAGTTTAGGGATTGATACAGAATTCTAATTCTGCAGTTTATGACCTGTAAATTTGGGTTGTCTTCATTCCCTAACTAGAGAGTAAGCTCCTAGAGGACAGACATCCTTCCTGTTTAATACCTAACTGGGGAACCTTGTATACAGAAGGTGCTCAATAAATACCTGTTCAGAATTTAGCCATCCTAAGCACTATTCTTACGGAGCCCACCTGCCCGCTTTCCCCCTTTTCATTTCTATTAGCATGACCTTCTCTACGAGGGAACGTACATAATTCCCAACAGAAACCTGGCATTTCCCTAAAAGAGATGAAGGGCAAACAAGCCTCCTGCCTACCCAGTTGTTGGCTCCGCAGCTGCAGGCACGTAACAAGCAGAGACAGGGCCTCCCCGGCAATCAGCGAGTCTTTGGTGGACACAGACTGTTGTCGCACGCAGATGCCCGCATGCAGGGCTGCCGGGTCCCCTTCACTCCCAGAGCTGCAATTGCTTCCTGGGAACAGGCAAGCAGAAGGTTACTGGGGACCCCACAGGACCCTCATGGTATCATAACATCCTTTTAATGTGCTCCAGAATCCTCAAGTGAAATTAAACAGTGCAAGGAGACATTCTGGTCTAAGAAACGAGAGACAATCACTTTATTTGACCCCAACTGCTTTAAAACACATTTGGAGGCACTCGAAATGTACTCAGGAGGCGAAATTCAGTTGAGGTGACAGAAGTGAGAACAGTGCAGTTTGCTGGGCCTGAGAGAGTCTTCCTGGGATATTAGAAATATTCCTCATCCTGACCTAGATGGGTCATCTGTACGTAAAAATCCCCAAAAGCCTGTACACGTAACACTTCCACACTTCGCTGTACGAATGTCATACATTTAAAAAATTTTTTCTACTGAGGTAAAAATACACACGTAAATTGAAGAGGGAAACCAATTTATAAAAACCTTATAGAAAATAACTGGCCAAACCAAGAAAATGACTTTTCCAGGTAGGAATTCCAGATGAATTTTTATTACGGCCACAATTTTTGGCCTCATGGCACTTTTACAACACTCGGCAAGCTAAAAACTCTGCTGATCTGGTTTTCCCACTTCCTCTGCGCTTATCAATGCTTTTTTTCTGAAGGTCTGACCTACGTACAGTAACGTAACAGGTCTCAAGTGCACAGCTTGACGGATTTCTACTCATGCTCAAAGGCAAGAGAAAAGGCTTCCTCCTTTTTGCGACTCCAAACAGCCTATGCATAGATAACTCTCACAGCTTATTTCTTGCCCGGTGATTTAATGACTTTATTCTTTTAAATCAGTACCTGAACTGCTGAGTCGGCTCCGGATTCCAGCAGGAAACAGAGAATTACTTTCTTTAATTGGCTGGCTGCTCCCAACGAGGTCAAGTCGTCCTGCAGCGGCAGCCCATGACAACCTCATGAAACAGGCCACTGTAGACGTGAAGTCACTCACTTCCATTGTCTAAACAAGGGCAGGAAGAACGTTATGAGAAAGGCAGCACTTGGAACACACTCCCCCTACTGACTTCCATCCCCTGACTGGTCTCAGTTTTGTGAGACCCTTTCTCCTCCACGATCACCCAGAAGGACAGCCTTTATTATGCTTCCGTACCGTTCAGAGACTTTCAGTATGTCCTCTACCTGTAACCCAGAGCCTGATCTCCATGCTCAGGAGTCAGGATACCCGTCACTCATTTGGATTTTAACGTTTCTCCTCTCCCACACAGTACACTTTGGGCTGCGTGAACGACCCCGTGGCCTTCCCTTCAGGCTCTGTTCTGTCTCTCTAGCTTTGCTCACACCTGCGCTCTTGAGGGAACAACTCTCCATGCTTCTCTGTCATCTCATCTAGCTTTAAGGCCTAGTGCAAATGCCACCTCCTACGTAAAATCGTTCACGACAGCTCTGGGGGAAGGCAATTAGTCCACTTCCCCTAAAGGCCTACGAATGTTCTGCCCTTGTAGCTCTCCTATAATCCCTGAGACTTCCCACCTTGAAGGACAGTGATTTCTGCACTGGTGGTCCCTCTCTGGCTCACCGTAGGTTCCGTGAAGGCTAAGTTCATGTCATCAACTTGTAGGTCTGCACAGCCCTTCCCTGTAACAGCAGGGACTTCTAATTTCTTGAATGCACAAGTCACCTACTTGTATTGCAACTCGTGCAGCAGGGATGATTTCCTCAACCCTAATGGAAGACCTGTCAGACACGGACAGCTGTCGGTACGATGACTTTTCTGGAGTACCACATAAGGACATCTGCCTGCTTGTCTGCCGGCTGACGTTTCGGAATGGGCGAGAAGAAAGTGCTTCTATGCCGTCTTTGGTGAGGTCTTCATCTAATAACGTGGGCATTGTTTGTCCCACAAGTAAAAATCTTCAAAGGAAACAAAAAGCTAGACTTATCTGAGGTTATTTCATACTATTCAAAATGATAGCATTTGGGAAGAGAAATAAAGTGAAGTACTGCCTTGTGAGACTAAGATGATATATTTACATACCTGGCAAGTTGTAGACAGATGGAATAAACTCCCTGCCTTGTTTCATAGTCTACTTCTGATGGGATGGAATCCCTCTGCATGACATTTACAACCAAACTTAAAAGAAAAGAAAAAGGCAGGATATTAAATAAAGACTTCTATTTCTTTCATAGGAAATTTTCTGTAACTAATTTAATTGCTTATGTAAATGTTATCAATTACTTAAAATTTCTATAAGAGCCTTACATACACACAGACCATACATATTTCTAACACAATGATTTCCTATGATTCCTGCAACTCTTGGTCCATTTAGAGTTAGATTCCTTGCTTAGCCAAAATCCTAGAGTGTCTGGATTGTCCTCATTCTTGCTGACTGGTGTGAGTTCACTGATTCACCACTATTTTATCACTAGAAGAACTATCAGTTAAAAAACATATCTAGAATTGGTATATTCAATAAAGCTTATTTTCACATTCACTACAATTTTTCCTATTACAAAAGCTTCCTAACTGTTCTTCCTGCTCCCACTCTTGACTCTCCACCCCCAAAATCTATTCTCAAAAGATCAATCATGGGGTGCCTAGGTGGCTCAGTCGTTAGGCGTCTGCCTTAGCTCAGGTCATGATTCCAGGGTCCTGGGATTGAGCCCCACATCGGGCTCCCTGCTCAGCGGGAAGCCTGCTTCTCCCTCTCCCACTCCGCCTGCTTGTGTTCCCTCTCTCGCTGTGTCTCTCTCTGTCAAAAATAAATAAATAAAATCTTAAAAAAAAAAAGAAAAAAGAAAAAAAAAGATCAATCAGAGTGATCCTTTTAAAATATTAAGTCAGATCACGGCACTCCTCCTCTGCACAAAACCCTCCAACGGCTTCCTGTTTCCTACAGAGAAGAAAAGGCAGAGTCTTGACAGTAACCTGTAACCCGTAAGACCCATAACCTGACGTCTGGTATGTCCGTAACCTCATGTCCCCCTACTGTCTCCCTCCTGCTACCCCAACCCGACAGGCCTGCTGGTCTCCGAAGGCACCAGGTCAGTCTCATGCAGGGGCACACACTGGCTGCTCCTCTGGATGGCTTCCCCCAGGGATCCCCAAGTCTCCCTTTCTCATCTCCTTCAGGTCTTTGTAAAATGTCACCCCATCAGTGAAACTTTTCCTGATCACCCTACTGAAAATCACAGCCCTGTCCATTCCCTCTTGTCTCATTTTTCTCTACAGTTCTTAACAGCTGCTGGCATATGCTTTTACTTTCACTTCTTTATTGCTTGTCTCCCCTCCAGACAGTAAGCATCACAAGGATGTGGAGTTCTGTCTAATCTGTTCACTGCTCTGTTCTCAGTGCTCAGAACAATGCCTGGCATGCAGATTAACTGACACAACTAAGCCAGCAGTAAAATGCCTTTATTCCAGAGCTCTGTGATTGGAAGTGAATAATCGGAAATGAGTTTTCACTAAGAACACCTCTGTGATTCTGAAAACGAATCAAGCTCCATGCAGGAGGCCTTCCACACGCTTGGGGCTTCTTTTAGCCCCACTCCCTTTATTGCTTCAAGGTCTCAGCCCAGCCTCTTCCCCGCAAGGCCTCCCACAGGAATTCTTGCAACTGTCCTCCAGCCTTCCCTCCTTCCTCGCCCGAGGAAATGCAGGCCTGCTTCTTGTTAGGGCAGGAGAACTTGGCCCCACGGATTATCCCTTTTCCTTTGATCTTTCTTTAGTCAGCCTGCAAAGACAACCTAGGCTTCCCCAAGGTAAAAGCAAAACAGAAAAGCAATCTTCCTCAGCTTTTCCCCTTCCAGTCACCGTCACCCCTGCTCTGCTTCCCCCACGTCTCTGATCCACTCTCGGCTCCTCACTTCACGCACCTCAACCATGTTCATCTCTCTTGATGTCCCATGTCCTCCATCCCCTTCCGAGCTTATTTCCGACGCTGACTGAATGTTCACCATTCCCTCCCTCTCCCAGGCGAGGAGTCACAGGGCCATTGATAATACACTGCCTCCCCTATATCTAGTCGTAAAAACTTGCCTATGTTACCTTATAAATGTTGGTTACTGCTGCCCAACATTTACCGCTGTCACTCTTCTCGGGGCCACTGCATGGTTCTCCCTGCCTCCGTCTCTCCCACTTCTATTTATTCGTCTCCACTGCGGCCAAAATGATTGTGCCAGGCAATTCCCAGCTTTGAAACCACCTGTTTTCCCATGGTCTATAAGCTAATGTTGAAATTCCTCAAGGTGACCCTTCCTGACATACTTCTCTCCTTCATCCTTTGCTCTAGCCTCCCCAGGCAACTGTGGCTCCCAAGACAGGCCACACAACATGGTGCTTTTACTCATCCCACCCACCCCCTCTGGCTGAGTCCTGTAGGGGATTCCTGCTCTTTTCTCAATTCCTAGCGCAAACGTCATCTTCTGCAAAGCACCTCCTAATCTTACTACCCCATGAAAACTTCACCATTTAAGCACTATCTTGCATCACCTCTCCCTACCTCCCACCCAATGCATTTTATGAGCTTGTTTTGATACCTCTAATAACTGTTTGTTATTCTTTGTTAAACCATGAGGCTCTAAAGGGCAGGAATGAGATCTAAGTTATCTTTGCATCCCCAGCATTAATAAGGCCTCATAAATATACAGCCATTACCGGGAATCAAATTTGCCTGGTGTCAAACTGATGCGGGAATCAGCAGAAACAGATCTGCTTCCTCTCCTCTACTCTCCTCAAGAATTTCTCCCACTACCGGAAGGAAGGAGATGTGCTTCTGCCAGTTCTCCAAATAACCAAAAGTCGTAAAATGAATTTAAGCGTTTCGAAGACTGAAACACCATTTCTTCTTCTTATAACTCTCGTGACATTTCACACAATACCTTATAGGAATAACCAAGGCCAAGCAGGAGAAATTACCCACAATAACTATATTCATTCTTTGCAATTCTTGTGACATTATAGTGAAACTCTAACCTCAGCCCTCCTGCTTTGAGGAAGTTCTCGCAGAAGGATTTTGCACAGTTTCTTGCCATGTCATCATCAGCTGTTGGCATGAGTTTGGAGCTTAGAACCTTGAAAACAGATAGGCACAGTTAGATAGCCCAACATTTCCAGCAGAAATAACTCCTTCACTAAGTAAAACAATCCGATAACTCGAGTCTGAGTCTCATTAAGTGCTGCATGCTGTTTCCCGACCCCGTTCCCAGAAGAAGGAGGCTGACGTTTCACAACTGAACTAATCATGTTTTCCAAGTTCTATAAGTTAGCAAGAAAATCTGTTTTGTTGAAGAAAGCTGGTGTGTTCTTTTCATGAAACCAGCAAAGGTGGATGTCTCAGGCTTAGACAAGAGCACATAACATTATGTGATATGCTAGACATGTTTTTGAAAAAGATGAAGTTTTATAAAATAGCCCATTCCTTAAAAATCCAAGATGAGGGGGCACCTGGGTGGCTCAGTCAGTTAAGTGTCTGCCTTAGGCCCAGGTCATGATCTCAGGGTCCTGGGATGCAGCTCTGTATCGGGCTTCCTGCTCAGCGGGGAGCCTGCTTCTCCCTCTCCCACCGTCCCTCCCCCACTTGTGCACACGCTCTCTCTCTCTCAAATAAATAAAATCTTTAAAAAAAAATGCTAGATGAGCTAATAATGATTCTGAAACTCCTACCATTTATTGACCACCTACATAATAGGCATAAAAGGAAGTCTTTACATGCATTCTCTCTTAATTTCACCATGCATGCTGTTATGTATTTTACTTTACAGGTAAAGACTGAGACCCAAAAGGCTAAGTGACCTCAAACCCAGATGTGCCTCCCTCCTAAATCCATGCCCCTTTTATGGCACTGATATACGTACCTAAAGGAAAGTGTAACTAAAAATTCTAGTATGGCAGATAATTATTTCAAAGAAATAATCATCCTATAGTATGAGACTTAGTAACCAACTGCTTATTTGGTTGTTACGATTTAAAAATAAAAAAAAAAATAAAATAAAGGAACCCACTGCCTCAGGTTCTCCAAGGTTTTAAAAATAGATATATTCAAGATCCTTTTTTATTCTAGAAAATCTGTTTCTACGAATCCATGGATTTTATGTGTGTAGACTTTTAGTGTGGGATTTCTTTTCCACAAATGTTTCCTTCCTGAAGTGCTCTTTGGGAAATAGGCTCATCAGCCTCAGGTTATGGGCACTGCTGGGAGGAAGGGAGCCCTCTGCTTTTCTAACCCTTCCTGTGAGTTGACAGCCACGTATGTACTCCCCATTCTCAACGGATAGCAATTTAGTGAAGGTGGAAGATTTCTTCAAAGCAGTAGGTATTTGGAATAGCTACTTTGAAGCTTCCTAGTAGACAAACGTAAGTTGAAGACTAAAATGCAGAGAAATTACCCTTCCAGGGGTCAGTTAAAATAAGTACTTTTTTTTTTTTAAGATTTATTTACTTGAGAGAAAGAGATCAGGAGCAGGAGGGACAGAGGGAGAGAGACTCTCAAGCAGATTCCACACTGAGCACAGAGCCCAATGCAGGGCTCCATCTCACAACCCTGAGATCATGACCTGGGCCGAAACCAAGAGTCGGACGCTTAACTGACTGAGCCACCCAGGCGCCCCAAAATGAGTGCTTTTGAAAGTGTTCAGTTTTCCATATATTTTGTGCTGTCTAAAGCAAAAAAACAAAAACAAACTACCTCTCAAAGGAATTCCCAGTTAATCAAAAGTACTGAAATTGTGCTGGAGGTATTTTACTACTACTGTCCTTTGGCTCTAAGATAATGCAATCTAGGTAGCAGATGATAAGCCAGACTCACTGTTGGACCATTCTGCTTTTCTAGGTGCTCTCAAATGTGGGTGTTGAGGTTTATACCTTAACTTTTTTTAAGACAATCATTCAAAATCAAATGACAAATCTTGCAGGTATTGCAAAATTTATAAGCTTAAACTGGCCAAAAATTTCTGGGCAATTTTCTGTCTTAGAGTATCATATACATATATTTTTAAATGCCCACATTAAATAAAGACATGCTTTCTTTTAAAAACATTTGCTAAATATATTCTCCTTTTGAACCCAACACATTTCTTCACAAGAATGATTAAGGCTAATATGAAAGAGCACAGCTTGAACACACGAGCAACAAGTGATGCAGAAAAATGAATGAATATATTTACATACTCTAAATTAGACTGCCAGAGGAAATAAAACTTGGGCAAAGCAAAATCATTCAGGGCTTTATTTTCTCCAGACCTAAAATGGCAAGAAGGTCTAACCTCTCACCCTCCAAGAGCAGAGCGTTTCCCTCCCCTATTGCCCCGTTACTGCTCTGCTCTTAAGACTCAGAATATGCAGCCTCTCTTATGTCTTACTCAAGATTTTGGAGCAGATATCTTGTCTTTTCAACTCTCATCCTTTAACTACCACAATGACTTGCAGACATTAAACAGTAAATGTTTACTGAACTAAATCTACTAGTTTAAAGCTACTTTTTGGAAAGAGGATAATAAAAATATTCTTTTGCTTAAATTCTTCCAGTTGCTTTTTTTTTAAAACCTTGAAATGATGATGTATTTTCTGACAAACTCTTCATAGCTTCATTATGACAACAAATTACAATTGTTTTTAAAAAAGTTAGGATGTATCTAATAACAAGAAGGCTGAAGATTACTACTGTATTGGACAGACTCGCTAAAATTCCAGAGGAAGATAATGGCATATTTTATTACATAAGGATTCCTCATTATTTATTTACAAGTTGTTCTGCGAGTATAACAGTGTGCATAGGTATAAAGTGAAAAAAACTGAGCCTTTTCTAAGGCCAAAAAACAACAAAATGGTTCAGTTTATATTGTTTTTTACTTTTTTTTGAAAACTTATTTTTTCACAGATCATCCAATAAAAATACTTATCTCCGACATCTAAAAGCATGAATGTGCAAACAAAAATGAATCTGTCCTGGTGAAATGAAAAGAAATGAGGCTTCTTACTTCTAAGTTATAGAGCACTCTGAAGGTGGACATTCCTGGAGCAAAGGATCGAAACAGACTTTCCAAAATTGAGCTGGCGCTTGGCTGATGCTGCTGCTTGGAGGACAGGGATGGAGACTTTGAGGACTGAGAACTCGTTTCAGACAGTAACGTCTTCTAAGGTTTTAAAGAATGAAAACAAAGGATGTATGTGTTAAAAGCACAAGTTAAGGAGAAACACACCTCAGTGTGCACTCTAATGTTCTTTTCCTCTTTAATATAATCGCACCAAAGGAATTTCCTACAAATTAACCTCAAGGACACATCACTTGGTAATAATTAACAAAACATCAAATTCCATCACACAAACTTTAAGTGCTCAACAGCATCCTGACCCTACAGGAACGTGTCTGAGAGTGTCTTCTAGGTAACACTAGCAAGGTCGTCTTTGTTTCCGTGTTTTAAAAATCTGTACTACTAAATACTGATAATTAAATTATGAACTTGTGGAAGTGGAAGCTTTGAACATGTTTTGAGCTAGTGCTAGTGATACATTTTGCAATTACATTAGTTTTGTTCTCCCTGCAAATACCTAAGCTGTGTATGACAAGACTATGAGCTGGTGTAAACTTCAACCCTGAAACATAAATTCGTACTGCAGTTCTAACAACTCTGTTCTACATGACTTTGTTCTGAGAACATAATTAAACAATATTATAGAGAGAATGTAATTTTAATACATATGATAAAATTCTTGAGGAAAAACATTACAGAAATTAAGATGAACTTTAAATATCAACAGTGGAAAAAAATTAAATGATAATTATGCAAGCAACTCAAACACAGGCAACAATCACATTCAGAGAGGTGTCATGACAGAAGAAAAATGTCTCCACTGAATCAGCACTTGTCCAGAATCTGATCCTGGACGAGACACTTCATCTCTTTGGGCTTCAATATCTTAATCCAGACAAGAAGAATGTGGAAGTACATATTAAAGGCTCTTCTGGTTCTAAAATTTGATGTCATTATTGATTCTAGGTCTTTTAAAAGTCAACATGAAGTTCTGATTTCCATTTACAGCAAAGGTATTTTTTTAAAGAAGAACTGTTATAGGATAGCATAAGGCCTGAAAGTGATTTCAGGTTGTATCGCTACTGAATCATGGCATTAAAATTTCCATGCCACTTTAAGTCCAAGACACTCGTACCTTTCTTCCCAAGGAATCAAGCTGGTCCAGGGCTTCCTGAATGGCTGGGTCAGTGGGTATCAAGAGCAGCAGCTTTCGTACTCGTAGAGTTATCCTGAAATTTTGCAAACACAAATTTTTTCACATAAGCCGGTTTCAATACCAAAGTCATTTGTTCCCGACAAATGTAAAGTCAAGTCAAAATGGACTTGGTTCCCTAACCTTAGTAACTTCCTCTCCTTCAGGCCTCGTAAACATTTATATTTACCTTGGCTCCTCCAGATTGGCAAGCTGGTAAAGCATGTCAAACACATTACATACAAGTGCCATCACAACACCAGGGAGGGATTTCTCCTGAGGGAAAAAAGCAAAATATAAATACAAACTGACAAAAACATTTTCTCTTTTTCTCATCAAACATGCCAACAATAAAATTACTACTTCTGCAGGAGTGGTCGCCACAAAGCTTGAGGGGAGCTGTGTGCTCCCCTGCAGTACAGAGCAACACCTGGGAACAGACACTGGCAGGACCACATCCTTCTAGTGCCTATTACCTGGGCTCTGCCCTATCCACCTGCTGCTGAAGGGTTAAGGGGCCAAAAGGCAGGAAGTGGAAGAGAAGTAAAATGGTGGGCAGGTATAATTAATAGAATGGAGAGTAGACACCGTTGAAAGCTGATCATAGCTCGTCAGGAGCAAACAAGGCAATGAGTGATTTAAAAGCAAAATGAAAGTAGTACATAGGTATATATATATATACACACACACACAACAGGTAGAAGAGACTTAGGTGTGGTTAAAGTACTATTTTCTGGTTATAAAGATAAGAAACTAGAGTCACTGTAGAGTGTCACTATACAAGGGAACATTTTTAATAAATTTAGGATAAACAGGAGACGATTTGAAAATGTTAAGCCTGAAGATGTTATGTGCAGGCATACTGCGGATATTGTAGGTTCACGTCCAGACCATGGTGAGAGAGCAAATACTGCGAGAGTCAAAGGAATTCTTTGGTTTCTCAGTGCATATAAGTTTATACTACAGTCTATTAAGTGTACAGTAGCACTGTGTCTAAAAAACAACGTATATGTCTTAATTAAAAAGGACTTTATTGCTAAAGAATGCTAACCAACATCTGAGCTTTCAGGAAGTCTCGATCTTTCTGCTGGGGGAGGAGCCTGCCTCGATGGCGATGGCTGCCGACGGATGAGGGTGGCTGCGGCAATGCCTTAAAATAAGACCACACTGAAGTTGGCTGCATCGACTGAGTCTTCCTTTCACGAATGATTTCTCTGTAGCACGAGATGCTGTTTGATAGCATTTTACCCACAGAAGAACTTCTTTCAAAATTGGAGTCAGTCCTCTCAGGCCCTGCTGCTGCTTTATCACTAAGTTTCTGTGATATTGCAAATCCTTTGTTGTCTTTCCACCACCTTCATGGCATCTTCACCAGGAGTAGATTCCATCTCAAGAAACCACTTTCTTTGTTCATCCGTAAGAAGCAACTCCACACCCGCTCAAGTTTTACCCTGAGATGGCAGCCACGCAGTCCCCCCTGCAGGCTCCACTTCTAGATCTCTTGTTCCTTCCACCCCATCTGCAGTCACTTCCTCCCCTGAAGTCTGGAACCCCTTCTAAGTCGCCCATGACGGTTGGAACCAGCTTCTTCCAAACTCCTGTTAATGTTACTATCCTGACCTCTTGTCATGAATCATGAATGTTCTTCTAGAATGGCGAATCCTTTCCAGAAGGTTTTCAATTTACTTTGCCCAGAGCCACCAGAAGAATCACTATCTATGGCGCTTACAGCCTTAGGAAATGTGTTTCTTAAATAATACGTCTTGAAAGTCAAAATGACTCCTTGATCCACAGGCTGCAGAATGGATGCTGTGTTAGCAGGCATGAAAACATTTATCTCGTTCATCTCCATCAGAGCTCTTGGGTGACCAGATGTATTGTCAATGAGCAGTAACATTTTGAAAGGAATCTTTTTTTCTGAGCAGGTCTCAACAGGGGTCTTAAAATATTCAGTAAATTATGTTGTAAACAGATGTGTTATCATCCAGGCTTTCTTGTTCCGTTTACAGAGCACAGAAAGTATAGATTTAGCGTAATTCTTGAGGGTCCTGGGGTTTTATGAATGGTAAATGAGCACTGGCTTCAACTTAAAGTCACGAGCTGCATTAGCCCCTCACAAGAAAGTCAGCCTGTCCTTTGAGGCTTTGAAGCCAGGCACGGACTTCTCCTCTCTAGCTATGGAAGTCCTAGATGGCATCTTCTTTCAATAGAAGGCTGTTCCGTCTACACTGAAAATCTGTTGTTTAGTGTAGCCACCGTCATGAGTGATCTGAGCCAGAGCTTCCAATCACCTGCTGCAGCGTCTACACCCAGGTGGCTGCTTCACCTTGGTACTTCCACGTTATGGAGGCGGCTTCTTTCCCTAAACCTCACGAACCCACCTCTGCTGCTTCCAACTTTCCTTCTGCAGCCTCCTCACCTCTCTCAGCCTTCACAGAGTAGAGGAGAGCGAGGACCTTGCTCTGGGTCAGGCTTTGGCTGAAGAGGATATGGTGGCTGGTTTGCTCTTCTATCCAGACCACTCACACTTTCTCCATCTCAGCAGTAAGGCTGGCTGACTTTCTTATCATTCGTGTGTTCACTGGAGTAGCACTTTCAATTTCCTCCGAGAACTCTTCCTTTGCTTTCACAACTTGGCTAAGTGTTTGGTGCAAGAGGCTTCCCTTTCGGCCTAACTCAGCTTTTGACATGCCTTCCTGATGAAGCTTAATCATTCCTAGTTTTTGATTTAAAGTGAGATGCACAGCTCTTCCTCTCACCTGAACGCCCAGGGGCCATTACAGGTTTACTAACTAATTTCAGTATTGTTGTGTCTCAGGGAATAAGGGACCCAAGGAGAGGGAGAGAGATGTGGGAACAGCTGGTTGTGGAGCAGTCAGAACACACACAACATTTATTAAGTTTGCCGTCCTATATGGGCACGGTTTGTGATGCTCCAAAATAATTACAATAGTAACATCACCGATCACTGACCATAGATCATCATGACAAATATAATAATGAATAAGTTTAAAATACTGTGAGAAGTACCAAAGTGTGACACAGAGACACAAAGTCAGCAAATGCTGTTGGAAAAATGGCACCAGCAGCCTTGCTTGGTACAGAGTTGGGCACCAACCTTCAATTTGTAAAAAACACACCATCTGCAAAATGCAATGAGTGAAGGCATGCTTGTACATTGTTTCTGCTGTTGATTAACTGTTATAATACTACTCTGAGTGGGATCTTCCTTAAATTCTTTTTTTTTTTTAAATATTTTACTTATTTATTTGATAGAGACACAGTGAGAGCAGGAACACAAGCAGGGGGAGTGGGAGAGGGAGAAGCAGGCTTCCCGCCGAGCAGGGAGCCCGATGCGGGGCTCGATCCCAGGACCGTGGGATCATGACCTGAGCCAAAGGCAGATGCTCAACGACTGAGCCACCCAGGCGCCCCCTTCCTTAAATTCTTACTATTATATAAGTGTAGTCACTTAAAAAAAAGAAAAGAAAAAACCCATTATACTAATACTAGCCCCGAGGAGTTCTTGAGATCTATAGCAAGTTTATGATAAGTTAGGAAAAAAACACAGTACACAAACATCTTCTATTTGGAATTAAAGCAATATATATAACTATGAAAAAAACCTCATGTGCTATTTGAATACCTTTACATGAGGTCTGGTGTGGTCTTCCTCTCTAGACTGTAAAAGCAAAGAAGCAGAACCAGCAGAATCAGTTCTGTACTCTGGTACCAAGCTTTGTCCTGACACAGAGGGTACCAAATAAATGGGTGGATTCATGAAATGACTGGACAAATACTGATTGAGTACCTATTATGTTCTAGGCACTCTTTTAGGTGCTGGGGATACAACAATGAGCAAAACAGGCAGAAGCCTGCTCTCATGGAGTTTATATCTCATTGGGGACAGAGAGACATTAAATAAGATAAAACATATAATATGTTAAAGTAAGTCAAGAAGGGAAATACGAAGGGCAGGGATGGGGTTAAAAATTTAAATAAGATTGCCAAAGAAGGTTCACTGAGAAGGCAATACTTGAGCGAGAGCTGAAGAACGTGAGAGAGGACCACCAGGATACTGGGGAAGAACATTCCAGACACAGGGAAGTGCAAGAGCACAGACTGTACTAAGTCTGAGGACCAACATGGAGGCCGGTACAGCAGGGGCGGTGGGACCGAGGGAGGTTGCGGGAGGTGATCTCAGAGAAGTGCCACGAGGGTTCAGGAGATCAGCCCTGTAGGGTAGACTCGGGCGCCTCCTCTAATTAGATGAAGCCACAGAAGGGTCTGCGCACCATGTGACTGCGGTTTAAGAAGAGCCCTGGCTGCTGGGCGCCGCACAGTGAAGAGGCTGAGGGGTGTAAGGGCAGAGCCGAGAGAGCCCGCAGGCGCTGCCGAAACACTTCAGGTGAGGCAGGACAGCTGCCTGGACCCATGCGGAAGCCACGGAGGCAGACAAGAGTAGCTAGATTCTAGATGCATTTTAAAGGCAGAGTCAAGGATCTGCTTGGCCTCGCTTGGCTCTCCCCTTCCTCTCTGGCTCCTCTGTCGTCGGCCCCGCTGGGTCTTCTTCACCCTTGATCTCTACACAAAGGAGTCCCCTGGCTGTCTCCACTTGTTCCCTCATGAGGAACCTCATCAGTCAGGACGGGTCGGACAGAAAAGGACCCAGTCAGCCAAGCCTATATGGGCCGAAGGCACAAGCACGAAGATTAAGTTCTGACTTGTCAGCGGACCGTCACCCCGTACCTGCTCCATGGCGTACGAGGAGCTGAAGACCCCACTGCCGCTGCTGCTGGAGCTGGTTGAGGAGTCGGCGGAGCTCCCGGATGGGGTCCCACTGCCCGAAGTCTTCACTGTGAGGATCTGTTCATCAGAAAAGCCCAGCTGGTGGAGGAGCTTTTGATCTTTATTCACCGTCAGCTGCAAATAGCGGTTTCTTAATTACCGAGAGGGAAAGGAGGACGGAGGTGTGGACGTCAGGCTGAAGGGCCGCCAACGGTTGGAGCAGACCTACCAGACTATCGTTGGTAAAAATCTGTATGTTGTCCACAGGCGAGCACAACTGCTTGGCTATCTTCCACCGCACGCTCCCTATGGTCTCATTACTGTGGGCCTGCACGATAAAAGCAAACATCACTGTGAGGAGGGACCAGGTACCAGGCGCTGTTCCAGAAGCCGGGAACAACAGCAGAGACCCCACAGACAAGACTCCCCGCCTGGGAGGCTCCCCTTCTGTAGTAATTCAATGTCCACTTTCCTGCCCCCGTCCTTGCCATCTCGCGGGCATCATATCTCAAGTCCTTCTGCGCGGGGTCGCCACGCTCTCCCATTCTCTCTGTGCTCCACCACCAGCTACCCTGCCTGTCACCGAACAAGCCACGCAAGCCCCACGGCAGGGCCTCTGTCCCTGCCGCTCCCTTCGCTTGGAATGTTCTTCCCCAGAAACGGCTTGCTGTCACTTTATTCCATCTTTGCTCAAATGTCACCACCACTTCCCTGCCCATCTTTTTATGACATTTCGCATACATGCATCACTCTACCAAATCATCCAGCTTTATTCTTACTCATTCTTTAGAACACTCATCACCACCTGATGTTCTATCACGTGCTCACTTACGGGCCTGCTTCTACCCCATTACTTCCCTTTCACTGCAGGTGTTTAGTCTGGATTTGTTGACCAAACAGCTTGGAGAATAGTCGCTCACACAGCTATCCCAACCCACAGTGCTCTCGCAAAACTAAAAGTAATAAGACAATACGAGAACGGCTCCAGGGCTCAACGTAAACCTACCTCTACAGTGAAGGTATCTTTGGTAGACTCATACGTAACATTAAGAGTTAAAAGATGTCCATGAAATGAGGCACCATGAGGTAGAATAGTTCGTGGAACAGAGTAAAAATCCTTGAAAAAGATATAAGTCAAACAAGTCAGACGCACAGCATCACTGAAACATCTCAGAAATACACACCGAACACAACCAGTCTAATGATACAATGATAAAGTGACTTTAAAAAGAGAGGCTTACCTCTATAGTGATCACATAGCGTTCAGCCAGAAGCAGCAACCTCTCGATTATTACAAGTTTAGTGGATCTACGTATTAAAAAAAATTTTTTTGGAACATATTTGAAATGAATTGCTTGATTCCAGTCTGCTTCACCAAAACCACACAGCTAGCACTCACTGGTCAAAGGCTGAAATTTGCAGACTAAACTTCCCCTGCACCGGTGGGGGTGGGGGTGGGGGGGTGGCTCAACCAGCTCACAGCTGGAACGCACCCAAAGAGTCAGGGAGGACAAGTATCTCCGGGTGTCCTCTCCTGTCCTGTCCTTTCCTCTCTTTGTAAACAGCTGTTCTGTAGAGAGAGGACCTGGGTCTCCAGGTCTATTTGTCCATCAATCCACCAAGAGTGAACTATCAGTAAGTTTGAGTCTCATAATCTTACAACTAAAATATGCCACATAATTTGGTAAACACATGGACTCTCTCTCACCAAGTTCTGAACTGCCTGAAAATCAGAAGACAAATGCAAACCAGTAAGCCTACCACAAATAACACTTGCTGTTTTAATGAGTCTGAGAATGAGGAAGAAGTGAAGGACAAACAATTGTTTATCTGGTTTAAATGAACATCCCGTATAGGTAAAACATACAAGCATAAGAATTTATTATCTAACCACCGGTTTTCAAAGTACTTAAGAAATCAACACGCATCAGGAGACAACCATCTCAAGAACAGGCAACATATGGCCAGGAAGTGTGGAGCTCTAGCACACCTGAAAATGGGACCTGAGGTCCCTTTTGGTCCGACTTAGGGAATATTACTATTATCTTAATTCATAGGACTCCAACTCCAACATTCAGCAGCTTATACATTCACAGCTCCATATTTTATGAAAGAGAACATTACATGTGTTAACATCAAGAGATGAAAATCCAAGTGCCCTTAATTTAAACATGTGCTATTCCAGAAAGTCTAGGCATTTCAAATAGGGACATTTCTAAATCTGAAAAAAGATACTACCATTTTCTAACAATTGGTCTGGTTTGCTGATTAGCAATATTGGAAATTTCACTTTAAAAAGAGTTCATTAAACACATTCTAATAGTTTGTTAAATACATTTAAACAGAGTTCTAAATCCTTTCAGGCTATGGGCAAGACTAGAATATGATATTGAGATAGAAAATCTTTAGGAAATATCTAAGTGCTAATAATAAGTGAATGATTGAGTGAACTTAATTATGCCTCAATAATGAATTAAATCACAGACAGCACTGCAGAACATGGTGTAGATGAGAGAATAACTCAATTACGGTCACTGAGAAGTTCTCTTAAAACCAGTGAAATAAGATCAACTACAGTGTCCTGGTTCAAATGCAATTTTGAAATTATATATTCCTATTAACAGTGTTCAGAGTTTATAACAAGAATAGTTAAAAACTATCCTGTAGTTTTGCTCTGTAGTCATACAAACATGAACTGATTCAGAATAAAAATCACTTATAAAAAGAGAAAAACAAAAAACACACTTATTTAAAGACGTTGCAGTTTGGAAATCCCGATCCAATAGTTCATCAATGCATTTCTACTCTGGTTTGTCAGACAAATGAATCATTAAGGACCTAGGCAGAGATGGACCACATCTTACAAACATGTAATCAGGAATTCTCAATACATATTCTCAATGAAAGCCTATATGAAATACACTTCTATCAATATGGGAATGCAAAGCTCATGTTAGTGTTCTTATTATGAGCTGAATACTCTGTAATCACTTACTACCATTTTAACCATTTTTTGTAAGATTTTAAAGTAATCTCCACACCCAATGTGGGGTTCGAAATTACAACCCCAAGATCAAGAGTTGCATGCTCTACTGACTGAGCCAGCCAGGCATCCCACTTTCTGGCATTTTAAAAAGAGCACCAAGAGGGTTGAGTTTTATTGGCATCTCTCATATTAATAAAATATCACTACCCAGTACTCAACTCCTTTAAAAAAAAAAAAAAAGATGAAGAATGTAAGGATATATTGTTTTGATTCCTTTCCTAAAGAAAGGCTTTAAAAAGAAAAAAGAACTGTAAATAGAAATAAATAACAAATACACACATAAAGACATTCCAAGAGTGTAAAGAGACAATCTGAGCACCCATAACTAGAGCGCAGTAAAGTAAGCCTTGTTCTGAGCACCTGACAAGGTTTCCTGGACACCACTGGTTTGGGGCTGCTAAGAATGAAGGGCTTATAAAACCTCACAGGAGCATTTGAGTTCCTTCAGCCTAACGTTTCTGAATATTCATCTACGTTCCTCACCATATCAAATAACTATAGCAAATACTGAACTCAGATTTCACTGATAGTATCTGAAAACACTGAAACACTGGAAACACGGCAATGTGATAAGACGCCAGTCAGTCAGTTCAAAGTTGGAATTTGGTGATAGAATTCTTATTAAAAATTATTTTGAGGGGTGCCTGGGTGGCTCAGTTGGTTAAGCGACTGCCTTCGGCTCAGGTCATGATCCTGGAGTCCCGGGATCGAGTCCCACATTGGGCTCCCTGC